AGGATTGCCGATGGGGTTGAAGTGCCTTGTGGGATATTCAATCTCTCGTCCATGTCTCAGTGACGGTTTGGTTTACTGGAAGTATTAACCAATTGTGAATGTACTAGTAGTACTTTTTAATTGGTCGCAACAAGTTGGTCGCGAGCACTCACTCAGTGACGTCGAAATTGCAAAATTTTGGCCAATAGAAACGCAGTCCTCATCAACTGAAAAAATTCAATGCAATAAAATTTCCAGCAAAACCCAACGTCGAAATAATCTTACCTAATACAAATATCAAGATATTGCGTTAGTACCACGGGGGAAGGATTTCCGTCGTTCCCTGTAGTCAAGTTTTGTCAGTTGCTCTAGTTAGTCAAAGTCAGGTGCACTCTACGGTATACACTTCAGGTGACGTACGAGTATTCCCTCGGAATGGATAGGTAAGTATAAAACATACCGACTTAATCTTTCCATGAGTTATCGTCATATGGGGCCAAAGCGCGACTCCAGCACTTGATGCGTGACTCCCAGAGCATTGTTATGCTGAGTACAAGGAATAATACAAGCGATGTCTTCGAGCTATTTTGTTCGTTCTGCATGGCCATTATCCGGAATTTTGCCACTGCAAATGGAGACGACCGCCGAAGCCGACGTTGCGACGGCGGTGGATGTCGACGGCTTGTTCGACTCAATATGGGGCTACCTGAAAGAGGAGGGATGGAGCTTCTCAAAGTTCAAGGGCACTTCCATGTATGTGGCACCTGATGGAGACCGCGCCAACATCAAGATGAACGTGAATTTGTTTCAAGCAAAGCCCCTCGCACTTGTGCGTGCGCTTGAACTCGCGAATACATCCACCACACAACACGCTGCTGCGCTCTGGGATGCACTATGGGTCCGCTTGGAGAAGGCCAAACTTGTCTCGAGCTTCGCTCCACTTCAGCATTGCACGTATTATCGAATTTCCGTCGTAAATACCCTGGACTCCTTGATTCCAAACACCACGCTTTTTGAAGAAAAGCGCAGTGCCGTCTTGGCCTGTCTTCGCGGTATCCACCCTATAGTATTCGACTCCAAACCTCCATCTCGGCCTCGAAACGTCCTTGCTGCCCTTCGACCACAAGAAATTGTCTCCGATCGCCAACCTATCCCCGCATCCGTGACTTCCACGAGAAACGAAAAGATTGCTACTCCCGTGGAAAACGAATCACAGAGCTGCCACGGATTGAACAGGATAGCAAAGGACTATGCAATCAGCGCAGCAATGCAGGCCACTGGTCATCTTCTTGAAAACTTGCCATTCCGTTCCAACCAAGACTCCATCGGCTCTGGAATTATCGGTACAGCGTCAGCTACCCAGTCGAGCGCAAACCAACACATATTCGTTGACAATGAGTCGACTGCAAGACCAAAGATAGCGCTACTTTCACGCCATTCGGAGAAAAACGTCACGTATCTTGAGACGTGCCAAGACACATCGGGCGTAATTGAGACCGTTCACGCAGCATTGACGTGCAGTTTGAATGACACGGAACCAGAAGCTGAACCAGAAGTACCCCAATCTGTCGCTTTACTCCCGTCCCAGCCGCAGCCAACTGATTGTTGGACCCCGATGTCGACGGCTAAACATTCCAGCGATGCTATTGAGCCGCTCGTTTCGACGACTTCTGCACCTACCCAACCAAAAAAACTTCGAAAGACTTCTCCCACGACCCATCGTGAGGTCCTTACGAGGGCATGGGGGTCGGACCCGGTGGCCACGGCGCAATTTGAAGACGTGTTTCAAGAACTAACGAAAGCAGGGTGGACTCGGTGCTCCAACAAGATCGGTGACATTTATTGCAAGCCAGGAGTGAACCCGTTCACAGGCATCGCCGGCGAAACAATTTTCTGTAGCTCAGCAGAAGTCAAAATGCATTTGGTTGCAACTGGCGAATGGGCGCGATATGAAGCGATCGTGCTCAAGAAGATACCGAAACATGAAGAAGGTAGCCAGGACTTGTGGATGCAGCTGAAGGCGTGCAGATGGACGCGCAAGCGCGTTGCCTGTGGAGGGTACGAATACTTCGCGCCCAACGACAGCACAGACAACGGTAGTTTAGTGGATGATGCCGCGAATGGCGAACCACTTGAATCGGCACAACCAACAAATTCCGAAAGAAAACCCCTTCGTTGCGACAAGATTGGGGGGGCACTTACGCCGGCTCCTGCACTTGTGCATGCTGTCGAAGAAAACGGAGATGGAATCCCAGACATCTTAGCAACCAGCAAAGCCGAACCCCAGCCTACCCGCGACACAGCTCCCGTGGTCAGTCACACACTTGAGGCGAGAACGCCGCCAGTATCTCACGCAGGCCACCCTCTCGAACACCAAGCATTGTTTGAGGTAAACAATATTGTCTTGGAATGCCAGATGCCTATTTCGTTGCACAGAACGTCGCACATCCAGCCACGCAAGAAATCTACTCGGAAGTCGGAGCACCCCACGTCCACCCACAGCTGACGACTCCAGCTACCACGCTGCATTTGCCTCACAACGCTTCGGAAAACAATCCAAAGCCGATGGCACTCCATTTCAATCACCCCGTCGAGTCCAACGTGCCTGTTGCTGCCTCTCCAAAAATCGCAGCCCATCTACCCGAAACCCCCGTTCATGTTGGTTTGCAAATTCATTTCTCATGAATACCAACTGATTGGTCGGATCGATTTCATAGATGGGAAAGCGCAGCAACATCTCCACCAGCAACCTCACTCACGCAGCTTCGCCGTACCGACCTGTACACCATTGTGCGAGTGATTGTTGAGACTTACGCACATGTGCTTGCAGATTTCTTCGGCAGTTCCTGGCGGCAGCTCAACCAGTCCCGGATCAAACCGCCCCGTGATGCAGGTCAAGAGCCCCGCAGGCGACTCCGACTGTCCCCGGACACCGCCAAGTCCTGGCAAACTAAACGGCATGGCTAATCTTCACGAAAAGTTTGTGTGCCCATATCCAACATCTCAGGACGTCGACGGAGTACTTGAGGTGGACGCTCCCATTGCGGTACCACAGCGTTAGCTTTGTCATGTTACTGACTGGTCCTTTGCAGCAAGAGCCATTGGAGTCAACCGGTTCATGTGAAGTGCCGCAGATGAAAGAGGCATTTTCCAACGTAAGTGCTGTTGAGCCACCAACTCATATTTAAACAACTGTGTCTAGGACGATAGCATGTCAAACGAGTCTACCTTAATGATGTCAACCAGCGAACCATCCTTCCGTTCGAAAACAGTTTGAATTCAACTCAATGTCTTGATAAAATTCTTGGTAGATTCTCGATGCGCCGACGCTTGTTCGATGGCAAACCAGCGGGCAACAGTCCTGAAAGCGCTGAGTCCGAATTACCCGCTTGAGACGCTGACTCACCGCAGAGACCAATGGCAAGTCGCCATGGAGTTCGTGAAGAGCTGTTTTCCGTCAAGCACCTCACGCGCGTTTGGAAGCGTGTGTGTGTCGGGGCCACGGGGGACAGGAAAATCAGCGATGGTGTCTTTGATGGAGAAGGCGTTGGTGTCACTGTGGCCGAACAGGACACGTCCACTTCGAGTGGTCCACCAAGATGCAGAGGCTGCGCTGAGCAGTGGTCGAAATGTGTTTGCCGACGTTGCAACTGCCATCACTAAATTGCAGCATGCACATGACGTGAACGCCATCGACGCCCTCGATCGCATCTTCCGCGACACGAGCCACTTTCAACCTGTCACGTACGCTTCCGATTATTTGTTTCACTTTTACGTGACTACGTATTCGTGTAGTTTGCTCGTGTTGGACAAGGTGGATGTGCTGTTCAATGGCTGTGGCATCTTTGATCGGTTTATGGAATGGGCCCATCAACCCCACTCGACCCTCATTGTGGTGGCCATTTCCAACACGATCGAGCTCACCAGGGCATACTTGCGACGCCAGCAGTGTACGATCTAAAATGCCGTTCACGTGTCTCGATTTGCGTTGTGGTGTTAGGGAATTCGGTGTCGATCGTGTGTTCGCCGTACGATAAATTGGCCCTTGGCGGGATTTTATCCCACCGATTGAACCAGCATCACCACGAAATGCCGCTCATCGACGGCGCCGCGATCGAATACGTTGCCGAGCAAGTTGCTGCGATCTCGGGCGACGCTCAAATGGCCATGGATATTTGTGTCGTTGCAATCTTGATGCAGGAGCAGCACGACGCCAACGTCCCCGTGTCTCTAAGCGCCATGACGATGGCCACGTCGGCATGTCTGACGCACTTTCGAGACCAGCTCATGCACGCGTTGCCTTCGACGACGCAGGTTCGTTTTTTGGTATTTGAGTGTTCGACCTGACGACGTTATGGCTATAGATGGTTTTGTACATGCTGATGCGCCTGGTGGATGTCTCTGGACTTGGCTCATCCAAGCGCGCGTTCGAAGCATACTGCGATCGACAGCATGCTCTCTCGTGGGAAGAATGGGCTGCGGAAATGCACATCCTCGAAGTTAACGGCGTCGTCGCCATGAACGGCGACACGTACAAATTGCGGGTGACTTTGGAAAACGTAGCGCATGTCGCCGGCCCCCGTACCAAGAGTACAGCTTAACGGTTTCCTCGTTCCAAGACCCGAGCAATTTCGGGAGAAGTTGTGGCCGGCTTAACGAAAACGGGAGCCGCGTGATGACCGGGACGCGATCATGCTGTCAGATACGTGCAGCGAGGCCGAGTAAGCATGTGTGGCGCACTGGATAAGTATGTACAGAATTTCACGATCGATCAGGAATCCTTCGGTCGTGATCATGGCCCCGTATTCGTGGCAGCTACTACATCTTGCTCATGTTATTTTGCATGTTCTGCCGCTTGATCGCGGCTTCGAAGGTGTCCCCGGTAGGGATCGGTTGGGAGGACGCAGGATCCCCCTTTGGTGGCCGGCTCTTGGCTCGTCGTGGGAGGGTGGCGCTCTGTGACACAGTGCCAAGGGGCGCCACCTGTCTCGTGACTTTACGAGTTTTTGTTTTCCCAGCATTGGACGCCTCGTCGTCTGTGTTGCTATCGTCGAGCAAGTCAATGACTTCGACGGCTTTTGTTTCGCCGCGTTTGAAAATCTGGCGACGTGATCGGCCTTTCACGCGCACCGCGCACCTGTGCGGGCCTTGCGTGATATGTGTGCACATTTTTTGGTCACGTTGTGATGCTTTGGTGGCCTTGGACGTTCTTGAGGTGGTTTGGGGCGTGGTCGCAGCACGTTTCAGCACGGAGGATGCCGGGGCAATTTCCTTTTGTGCCTTGATGTGGCGGGAGCACAAGTCTTTGTTGCATGCAGCAATATTTGTACAGTCCTTGAAAGCACATGGGGTCACGTTGGTGCGAAGGAGGGGCCGTCCGCGCTTCTTGCGAGACACTGCTATGGGTTGGGCCTGCGCGGGTTCTACGCCTTGCGGTGTCACGTCGACGGGTGGTGTTGGCAGGAATTCTTGGATGTCCTGTTTCACTTCCGCAACATGAAGATTCAAGACGTGAAGGATAGCTTCCCGCTTCGTCTCGAACATGGTCTTGTTGAGGGCCAGGTCCTCCGCCTCGACATCCATGCCAAAGTACAGTTCAACATCGCGCAGGTACATTGAGGACACACAGTTAAGCGTCTCAAGGTGTCTCCACACAAGGTCCCACAGGTCGTCGTGTGCCGTCGAAGCGTCCACGGATGCATACTTGACAAAAGCAGTTCGAAGCAAGGTCTCTTTCGATTCAAATATTGTCACATCCAACTTGAACGTGAGAAAGGTGAGGTCCGGGGACACGTAGAACGGTGGTAGGTCATCAGCGACGCAGTGACGCCATCCTTTTCCTTGAAGGCATGGCCATAGCTCGTCAAACATCGCGGTCCAGTCCACCGCATCTCTCGGCTGCCACGTTATAGCGACCATGGCAACTCGACTGTGATTTGGAGCACTATCGCAATCGTCGCAATTTGTCTGGTCAAAAGTATCAATTCACAAGTATTCAAGCAAATTTTTCAATGAATACCTCGAGAATCGTGTCAGTATTTTCGTCAAAAACAAGGATTTTGTCAATAATTGGTGCTCTTGGCAGATTTGGATTGGCTAAAAATTGTCGTTCGTGTGTACCCGTTGGCTAGAAATCCCAATACCAAATGGAAGTTGGCATTGCCTGCGCATTCTTTCGTCATGTTCCGTGGTCGATGCCAACAATAGAGCACATGCCGTCGGTGAAGTGCATGGGAAAAATTGCTGTGTGGAAAGCCAAGTTATTCGCGTACGTCAAGCTAAGTTGTCGGAATCCATTCCAACGCCCGTGTGTGCACCTCCTACGCTGTCGAGTGTTTTGTCTTCGTTCGTGACTTCGGTCTCAACCACCTCGACCGCTGCGATAGTCGCGAAGGCCTGGAGGATGTCACGAATTTGATTCTGCATTCAACCACGAATGGTGGCCATCTCACCACACCGCACAAACGATTCATGCATCTCGTGTCGCATTTGGAGCAACTGGTCCATCCACACACGTATATCAAGCCATTACGGTTGTCAAGCACGCGTTCTTCTCCACCACGTTCGATTCATCCACTGACAATTACGTCAATCACACGTTGAACTTGCGCGATGCCGTCGTGGTAGCCGATCTATTTAGCTTGCCTTCGAGGTGATTGAAGCGTGTCGAGCGATGGACGAATTGTCCCCTTCAGTCGAAAGTAACCACCAACTCCCACACCAAACCAAACCCAAGCGACTTCTACAAGTCCTACGCCAGCTCTGCACCCACGGCTCGAGGCATCACAGGCGAATTGGCCAAGGCGAAGCGACGAAAGATCTTGCGATCGCTTCCACCGTTAAAGTCGCTGAACGACAGCGTGGCCGTCGATGGGGCGGATCTCAACATCGAAAGGTACGTTGTACTGAACAACCCATGTGTTCACGTCAACGGTAAACAGTGTCGTGACGTCGTTTGGGGGAAGTCGAGGACGATCAACTTGGCTCGTGGCAGTCGGTCCAAGCGTACATGTCGAAGGAGCTCTCAGTGGAAAGCGAAGGTAAAAGAGGAGCTACCAGCCAGACGCTCCACCAGTGAACTTCAAGGCTCAGCAGAACATGATGACGCATCCCGAGAGGATTTTATATCTCCGTTGACGGCATTTGACACAAACACGTACCATTGCATCGGCCGACACCCTGCGAGACACTTGCAACGCTGACGTCACGAGCAAAGGACCATACTTCGAAGCGGATGGGTGGACGGTGGGGGAGCGCTGTGAGGTCGATATGTGCCACATGCAACCGTTTCCACCAACATTGCCGCTCTTGAACGAGACGAGAGTGGAGTCAACGTCTGGCTGGCGCATTGCATTGGTTCAGGGTGCTCACCATGAATCGGAATAACATCATCGACGACCAGCCACCCCAAGGCGATGCCGACATGTCGACCGTGCTATGGAACGTCATGCAGACCTTCATGGAGCGCAACCGGCTTGGCCAGTGTCCCCAAATGGTGCGACGCCGCATCTTGTGCCCCGCCACCGCCGTCCGTTCGAAGATTCTAGTTGGTTGAAGCTCAAGCAAAGTCCATACAACCTGTTGCCCCGATGGAGGCAAGGACTGGTTGCCTCCAGCAGTGCTGGCCAAATATCGTCGAGATAATGTGCAGAGGTGTCGCTTTGGCTTGGTCTGGATGGTGCTGCAAAACGAATTGCATGGCGCAGCGACGTCATGCAGATCATGTACTAACGACGATGACGAGAGAGCGAAGATGAACCATCGTCGAAGGCGACGGTTTGGCACCGAGAAACAAGTGTGACCTAACTTGGAGGTACATCCCACGATTCTCAAGACCATCGGGCCTGGGCGGCACAATTGGTTGTGTGGCGCTTTGTCGGTGGCTCGTGACGCGCGCGCTTATGGCACCATAAAGATGAATCTAGCCAAGCCGTCGGCATCGCCCGTGCAAGAGGTACAAGAGGCGTTGGGTGCAAAGGGATGGCGTGTGTCCCGTAGTAGAAAATATCGTCGACTAGTGTACTTCGCGCTTCACATGTCAAGTGTATCGGCGGACAGTACAAGGTGGTCTCAGGCAATCCTGGCGTCGATTACTTCGCAGCCGACTTTGAAGAAAATATTCGGGGAGCTCTCGCCTTGATGGCGGTTGTTGCTCGGTATTGCACCGCTGCGCGCATCACATGCGGCAACGACACGAATGCAAAAGGAAGCGCTGGTCGTTCAACCAAGTGAATGGGGTGCTTGAGCAGCTCGGCTGACGCACTGTCGAGGTTGCATCGGCGCGGAATTTTCCAACCCGACAAACCAAAGTTCTTTCAACGAATCCAGCGCGACGACAAAACAACACGCTCGCGAGAGGCACTGCTGCGTCAATACCACCACACCCATCTCCAGTACAAAAGGAGACCAACGAATGCAATGGCTGGCGAAGCTGCGACTGCCACACGAGTAGCGACCGGAGAATTGGAGCGAGGCATCGATCGGCCAAACACGCGCGAGACTACAGGGAAGCGCCGACTCGAATGAGACAGGTGTCCAAGGCCATCGCGCCCCACAAACTTGACGACAGTGCGTACATCGTGCACCCATGTTGTGTTTAGTCACGAAGACAGAGCGCCCAACTTGCTCGGAAGGTTCCATCTCGTCGGCAATATTGGGCATGACGATGTCAAGACCAAAGGCCTCCCAGTGGCCGCCGTCCCGAATATCAAACGGAGCTCCACAGCGACGCCGAGGCGATTCTTCGGCAGAAAGGGACATGGGAGCATGTTGCAGCCAAGATCACGGCGTCGCATCAATCAAACGCCCGACAGTGGAGATCGAGGCAAGAAGTTGGTGGTGGTTGGGCTGTCTTTGGGCAAAGCAAAACTGTTGCGATTCGGAGGCAGCATTCATGGGGGCCGTGCGACGGGCCGTGGTGCAGTCGAGTCTACTAAGTCGTCGCTGCCGCATTTTTTTGGCCGTCATGTTGGAGAGGTCGATGGAGGAACACTCGTATCCGAACAGTCGACTAAGCGGCACCACCACCCACGAAAACACGATAGGCACGAAAATTTGTACGATGGCTCGATCTTGTATCAAGAAGAGTGCACCTTTGCAGGGTACCTCAAGCTTCGCACGCTTCGACGTCGGTCCGAGTTGTGGTAAGGTTCTTCTGTCCTCTGCGACTTCATCCATGTTGACCGTGGGGCGTAGATGGCGTTGACGCGAGCAACGCCGCCGTCGCCGCGAACGGTTCTCGGCAACCTGCATCTCAACTCCGAGCTGCTTTCAGGTCGTTTCACCCGTTCCTGTGCAAGCATGCTGTCCATGTTTCTTGCAACGACAAGTCGATTGTGAGGCGACGTACGCGTTGCAAGTCGAGGACAAAAACTGTCACGGCGACCAGCGCGTCGCGCCTTGTCGTATACGAGCGATGCGGGGGCAGTTTTTCTGTGCGCTGGCGTTCGACGTTGCCATGGTCGACTCGCGACACGACGAGAACGTCCCGCTGAATGATCGCACAACACACTCTGTGCATCCTGCGTGATCGAGTCACCCCCGTTGATGTTGACGGACACGCCGATGGTCGACATCTTGGCGCTGCGGTATCCTGCCAAGGTGTCGGTGATGCTGTGGAATGTCGGAACGGCCCTCGACTTGTATCGCTTCGTCGTCCTCGTAAAAAAAGGAGTCGGGCAGCCCACCGCCCGCCCTCGGACGTTGTGGCTGTGTTCAAGGGAGCAAGCGGCGTCGTGAAAGCCAAGATCACGTGGATGCAACTGCGTCGCGACGCCCAGGTACCGTCGTGCCACCCAGATTTCGATGATGATGCCCCATGTGACTGTAGAAGATTCTTTTTGCACAAAGCACCCACTAGCCTGACAACGACGAGAATGTGGAGCCGTCGTGGAGGGAAATCGACGTATCGTTGCCCCATCGCGCCGGCGCGAACACGTCCAAAGGGCTCTCGACGGCTGTGTGATGACGTCGTTCGAGTTCTGGAATCGAATGGCCTCGTGGCCCCATCGTCCCCATGGCGCCCTCGATCGATGGCGACAGAGGCGTTGTTGTGCTGGCCAAGTCAGACAATTTGTTGGCGCACTTTGCTCACGACATGTCGCGCCCGCCCGACCAAGTTGCACGCAGCATGCTCGACAAAGGCGACCCACTTGCCGCCAACTTGGCTTCCCGCATGGATACCGTACGCTTCGACGCTATTGCCCACTTCAGCGCCGGGACAGAGGAGGTGCGATATATCGCCAGAGCAACACCGCCGTCGCGATGCTGAACCCAAAGGATTCCGTGCTCGCGCGGGGGCGGAGACTGGTGCAGTGCGGACGGTGGGTGCACCAACACATTGTTGGAATTTGGGGTTTCAAAGAAGGACCTTCATCGACCTGTCGTGGTGGATCTGTTTGTGGAGCGGGCGAGAACTCGACTTGCCAAAAATCCACCGCCCTTGATGCAGTGGCGACGTGGGGGACGTAAAAATATGCGCATGGAGCAAGCGATCTGCAGAGAATGGGGCAAGTCGACAGCGCCAAAGCGCGTGCCGAGCTACCGTAGGCGGCTGGGATGCTCCGCGCCAAAATGGGTGGAGCTGTGCATGCGCCGAGGCGATATGGAAGCGGCCAACACGAATTCGAGATGTCGACTCTTCCACCGGAAGTCGAAACCAATAAATAGGAATAAGTTAAGCAAAACTAGCACCATTCGCAGCCGGTTGCCTTGTGGGAAATCTTGTGGCGCCCGCCACGCATGACGTCGTAGTAGGCAAGGCCTTTGGTCTTGTCGCCGTGGCTGACGAGGAGGTCCACTACACGCCGATGGTTCATCTGGCACGCCTTCACCAGTGGAGTTTCTCCATTCGTGTTGGACGCTTGGAGACTCGCTCCTTTGCGGACAAGGTATGCGGCCACCTTGGCATGTCCTTGCATGCAGGCAACGTGGAGGGGGGTGTTGCCTTGGTGGTTGGGAGCGTCGAGTGGGGCCCCGCCGTGGATCAAGAGGCGGGCCGTTTGGAGATGGTTCTCCTGGACAGCGACGTGCAGGGCCGTGTCGCCCTGGGGACCCAATGCGCCTTGGGGCTGAGCCCCAGCCTTCATGAGCATGTGGACGGCAATGTCGGATCCCAATGCGCTGCACATGTACAGCGCCGAGACCCCGATCGCATTGGGGGCATTCACGTCGACCCCGCACCGGATGAGATACTTGATGATGTCTGGCTGGTTGGCGCGGCAAGCGGTGTGCAGGAGGCTGTCGCCCATCTTATTCGGTTCGCAATACAACAACACGGACGGGCCGTAGCACTTGACGACGTGTCGCACAAGGGCGAGGCACCCTTGCTGAACCATGGCATGCAGACCGCGCTGGATGACGATATCGTCCCCAGAGTCCATCAGGTGCTGGACTAGGTGCAGATGCTGGTTGGCGGCGGCGACTGAGAGGGCCTTGACGCGCTGCGCGCAGGACATGCGGCTGGACATCGCTGAGAGGAGCGGAAGCGATCCCTTTGTACTGACAGCTTCGACAGCGTCGTTGTGGACAATCTTGACGTGCCTTAGCACGGAAAGAAACATGTCGTCGGATTGAGCAAGTGCCATGACGAGAGCACTGGGAGTAGTTTCAGGGTGCATGGCCGGGTTGGCGCCGGCGTTGAGCAGTGCATCGACGGACTCGACTTGGCCTGCTTGGATTGCGAGCTGAAGAAGTGAATATCCACAAGTGGGCTGAAAGTCGGTCGATACAGATCGGTACGAGTGTTGTGCATGAATTGTAGAAGGCATCTTGGACCGTCGGATGCAGTGGGGGGAGACACAAACGTCGCCCGGACGGCACGTGAACGCGCGGTTCACTTCGCACCCGTGATGGTCGAGGATCCTTGCGATCTCATCTGCATTTCCTGCGAGGACGGCCGCGACGAGGTCGTCGCAGCACAAACCGTCGTTGGTGTGGCACAAGATGACGGTCGCGTCGAGTTTATCCTTGGTGCAGTGTGAAGTGTCGCGGACGTTGGAGACACGGGAGGTGCAAGTGCGAAAGATGGGCCACGGCGGCATCATGAGCATTCTGCAAGAACAGAATCGAAGTGGGTTGCCGTGCTCGCCGCCCCGCACGCCGTCCCAATTGAGCAATGCCGAGGGGCCAGTTACGGTTCAGGTGGGGATGCTGACCACTCACACCATCGATTCCATTGGAGAAAATAGATATCATTTTATGCCTTATGATTGGCTAGATGCTTCATTTCTTCTACATGATTGGCTGAAAACCAAACATTCCCCAGGCTAACCGCATCCCACGCGACCAGGATTTTACGATGACTGAACCCACCGCGCCGCGCGCTTGAAACCGATTGTTGAGGTTGTTATAACTAGTTATAACAAATGTTCATACCTTCGAACAGCCGAATTGTATTGTGAACGCACGGAGACGAATTGTTATAACTCTTAACGCAAAACCGTATTTCTACCGTGCCGTTTCGCTGGCTACTACTGTACAGCAGAATGGGGCGAACCCGCGGTTGAGATGGGGCCGCCGCGAGCGGACATGCGCTGCGGTTGGAGGAAGTTGGTTTCGAGCGAGCGGGCGTCCCCGCTCTCGCCCTCGAGGCACCGTGAACAGGAAAGAGATACGTACAAAGTCACCAGAGCGCTTGGAAACGTACGCATGGCGGGGGAGGAGATTCCCTCGACGCCCCGGTCGCATATGCGTTCATGTCGCTCACATTGAACGTGTGAAACAAAGGAGAGGCGCCACGGCACCGAGGCAAGGCGCACGGGGAGCTACACTGCTTTCGTAACGTGAACTACGATCAAGACTGTCGCCCTGTCGTTGCAAGCCTCCACCAATCGCTTGCCCCACCAACCGGGAATTGCGTCACGTAAAAGTTACTGTGATATGAGTCTGCCGAGCACGAGAACCAGTTAAGGAGCCTCTGACCGTCCAGCGCCAGCCACGCGCCAGTGGCGTCTCATTTCCTCTCTCCTGAAGTTATTCGAAGGGAAGGTTTGGTGATCCTCAAGTGTTTGTCGGCTCCAACTGCGCGGGGTTTATACTTTTTTCAATCCATCTTCGTCCACAGCATGGGCGTAACTCGGAATGCGTTCCACACGGCTGATCAACCATTGGCCGTCCCACCTGATTAAATGGAGCAGTCATGTCGCCCGCGGCCAGCCATGTACCCAAAACACATTCGACGGCCCTCCCACGCCAGGGCGAGATTACGATCCGCACACACCCCGCCGACTCCATGGAGGCGATCTCGCGCAACGGGAGAAGATATCTCACGTAGCTTGGTGCGTTGGCGGCTCCATCACGCTTGAAACCACCCGACGGGTTTTCATCTATATCGGTCGCCGTCTTGCCCGCACGATTTTCTCAAAATCTGAAATTTCAACAGGTCAGTACACTGTACGGTACCGTACTCGTCGTAACTGGTACGATCGAGTTGTGGGAAGGCAGAGTCGCCCACTAGCTTCCTGTGTAACTTAGGCCACGATATCCCCGACAGCATTCCCAATTCTCCCGTGCGTGGAGCCCTCTCGTTCGGAGTCATCGGGTTCATTTTATTGCGGATTTGCGTCCATGACAAAGTCGGTTTCATTCGTACGCGCGTGCTGTTAGTAGAAACCGAAGCCTTTGTTGGAATTGCATTCCTCAAGTTGTACGGAATAGTAGTTGGCTAGTAGCTACTACGGACGAGTGGAGTCCACCAATGACAATTTACTATGATTCCACTAATCAGCGATGTAGAAATTGGAATTTATGTTCAATTAGAATGGAATTTTTTTCAACCAATGAGATGGTTGCATTTCACGGAGGAACCGTTGGCTCATTTTGATCACCAACAACACCATGGCGAAGGTCCGTGGCGCCTTCCATCGTTGATGCCCGAAGCCCGTCGCATGCGCTCACGTCGTATGTATAGGGAAAGGCCAAATCCGTCATTGTCAAGCTTCTCAGCGCCGCTAATACTGGGTACGGCGTCAGTTAGACTGCCATGGGTGCTCACGATTTTCAACACAGGTTCTTCTACACTACACGCAAGAACCCCCGCAACGTGCAAAAGAAGCTCGCTCTTCGTAAGGTAAGTGCCCTTCGCCCGAATTATCTCTCGAACAATGCAAAATGACGTGGCTCCTGTGTAGTATGACCCCATTGTCCGAGAGCACGTCTTGTTTAACGAAGCCAAGATCAAGAAGGGCTAAGCGCACAGCGACCTCGTCGGACAGACGACCTCTCAAGGCAGTAGAATTAAGTTGAAGAACATATCGAAAGACATCTATCCATCGCCCCTGTTCATTACTCGGAAGATGAATCTCTCGCTACATGAAAATCTGCACCAAATGATCTGTTGGCAAAATCCTTCGGCACTCGTCGCGGCGGTAATATCACCACGCGTGCCAGAGTCGTTCCAACATTCCAACGTTGTTTTTTGTCGCTGATGCGCGCCGACGGCACTTGTTCTGTCATAAGAATCGTTTCGAACACTTTGGAAAGACTAAGGCGAGGCACCCCTGCCTCGTTTGCGGTGATTAATGCGTCCACAGACACCAGCCCCTGTCATACTTCCCTTCATCTTTGCAAGACACTCCATAGAAGCTGCTTGTGCTGTAGACGTCCTGGTCATCATCTGCCAGCATGGTTGCTGAGGTGTTCGTACTTACAAGCCCCAAACCGTACTTTCGGGGATTTTCCGATTGATTACCAGGCACGGGACACGTGAAGGGTGCCATGCGCAATCGCCTCGTACAGACTCGTCGATGCCTGAAGGCTGCCGTGCGTCCGGCCAAAGCAGCGAGAGCAGATGGACCCAAGGCTCACGTCGTGTCCAAGGAGGCGAAGAAACTCTCGGCCGACGAGGCGTCCAAAAATGCCTTGGTGGGCATACCAACGCTTGTCGCCAAATGGACTTACCCACCACACAAGTAGATGCTCCGTTTCAGCAACGAAAACTCGTACTTGAATTGGGCTCGTAACGGTGTCATGTCATCGGGTGTTGGCGTTGCGATGTATGCCCAAGAACACCATCGTGGCGCGCAACTCAGCGGCGCCGGTATGTCCGAGATCTGCCACTCCCCGCCTCGATCATCTTGTGTCCCAGTCCATCCAAACGTCTCCCGATATTGTAGGTTTGCTGTTGCTCGGGTTTGGCTACATCGGCGTGGGGAGCTTCAAGTACATGTTTTACATTTTGCGCTTTCGTCAAGTCATGGGCACTTCATGGCCCAGTGTTGTGGCGTCCTGTTCTCATGCAGCCGTGGCGTTGGGCATTTGGTTAACCGCCACAGCCTCGTTCTTGGTAAGCAAGTTCGTGCAATGGTCACAGCAGATGAGGCAGCACTTGCTCATAAACGGTTGATCGTAGGAAAGCATTCCCCTAGAGATGGACGTACTGCTGCTCGAGGAGCCCTTCATCCAATTCTTACCAAGTCGCATCGCGCAAGGCTTGATCCAAACGTACAATTTGCAGCAAGACGAGCCAGATCCGAGACAAGCCTAAGCGTGTGCGAGCAACTCGCAAATAGAACTCAGCAACGTTTTGTTTCATGTGATGGCCAAGTTGGTATTGTTAGTGTGTGGGAGAGGTTGAGGGGTCCATGGACGACTCATCACTCGACGACGGCTTAAATGTCCTCTTCATCCACATTCAACGGGGCAGTGAAGTCGGGGTTGCGACGGATGGTCACGCCGTCCCACGTGATGTTAATGGGCTCATACTCGTCTTCGCCGATGCGGCCGTCAATGATGGGTTGAGCCAATAAGATATCGCTTTCGGGGGACCGCGCAGCGGTTTCACCAAATTGGTTCATCTCCTTCAGTACACGCAAAATGTCGTCGTCGCTCTTGTGCTTGACGTACACTTGCTTGTCGACACCCCAATCTGCACCGCCGTCAATACCGTGTCATGAAAGAGTTCGCCGTACCGAATCGGGCATAGACGAACGGTTCTACGTCTTCGGCTTCACGGTAGATGAACGGGGTGCAAGGATTGAGCATTTTCAGTTCTTCGTAGTTGCGACGGAAAAACTTGCTACAACATGGAATGCACGATCAGCAAATCTCACGATTTTCAAGGTCTCAGTGGACTTTGTCGTCGCGTCGTTGTGTACGTACCGCAGACCCTTGCTACTGTCCGACGTACTGCATGCTACGAAACGGAGCTCTTGGATGTTGCGGGAGATCTGTGCGCGCCAGCTCATCTTCGGTCGCTCTTCCTCGGTTCGGCGTTGTGACTAAAGTATCCGGATACCTTCGTGCCCTCACTTTTTGCACCACAAAGTCTCCACCAATCACGGCCAAAACGCAACTTTTATCCGGAATGGGTCATCTGCTGGATAATGGAAGTGGAAGATGCATCGTGGAAGGGCGTGAAAGGACCTTCTAGTTGTTGGCATGTTGTCCTACCAGACTCGAATACTCTCGCTCTGCTCCCTTATTCTCTTCATAAAGGTGTAGCAGTGACCTCTACATCCTGAGCTATACAGCTGCATCATGGCTTTCACGAATGGCATGTCTCCATGTTGCGTGTTAGCCGTGTTTAACCCTAGCTTTGCCGACAACGGAATGCGCTTCCTGATTCAATATAGATTGGTGGGCCAACTTGGGAGCGTTGTGTGCTCTTGTATATTACAGGTACTGAATGCCTCTCTTCGGTGCTGCAGGGATATCTGGTTGCCATGAGGTGTTGTTAGTTGGTGGGCGTGTGAGCACTGTGACTGCCATACGTGCAGATGTGGAAGTCATAATCGGTCTTGCATCATGCGACGGCCGAGGCACGGTCGTGTACGGTTGGTTGTGGCACGAAGGTTCGTCGGCCGCGTTGTCGTCCGACCCTTGATCATCGTTCGCGCCGTTGCTCTTTCCATGGCGGAGTTTGTACATCCAATTCCGTCGCTGGACTCGCGCGCCTTTTTCCTTGACAAACAACTTTTCCGGCATGTAAAACCGATGGAACTTTTCCCAGCAAGTCCACTCTGTGTTTGGGCACATATACGGCGCCGGGGTGTAGTTTTGTCGCACGCAGCTGCACAGACATACGTCGTGGACGTCGCAATAGTCTGTCACTTCGGTCACAGTCTTGGACTTCGACGTGGATTCCCATCGGCATACGACGCATTGCCGCGTCTTACATCGCGAGTCTTTGCCAGGCCGCTTGAGCGCAAAAACGGCCTTGGAGCGTCGGGGCACGCAGGGCCGATCAAGAGTCTCGGACGGTGGCGGCACCTCCTCGTCCACAGGGACTGCAGCTGGGGGTTTTGCACAGCCATGAGGCGGAGCATACTCCCATTCGCCATGCATGAGCTCCGTGGACAGAGATTTTGTGAAGGCCCACATGGACGCGTCGCTGTCGGGAAGGGCGATCTTTCTGGTGAGAAATGCATTCACTCGCGCAATGTCCATCAAGTGCAGCATCAGGGTGTGCGCCCAAGATGTGGGTGCAAGAGAGCTCCCAACAGCGGACGCATGCGATGGATCGAACGCAGCCCACCGATGCAGCTTGCGTCGGCGTCCATCTATAAGTAGATGCATCTTCACCATGGAAGGCATGGGACCGGAATGGCCGTGCTGGGCGGGTGGAAGGTCTCTATTTGTCAGCACGCCCAAGCTCAATCGAGGGGACGTCCACTCTGTCACAGCAAAGATATTCAGTGGCGTCGTTGGCATGATCGGTTTGGCCCACACTGTTGGCCGTTGGGCGGAAGTCGCCACGAGGTTGGGTGTCGCAGCGATGTCCACGAGGGACTCCGGCACCTTCGTCGACGCTATCTAGTTGGTGAGTTCTCCTGGAGCGTTCGTTGGCGTCGTTACCTCGACAATAAAGTCCACACGTGCAAAGGGATTCGACCAGATCCACACTGACGAACGGCGAGTGAACGTGAACGACCCGATGTGAATGATGAAACGGGTGCACCGCCTCGACGACATTGCGAACAAGTGCTGACGGATGCACTTCGTTGGCCACGTGCAGCTTGAAATGGACGACAACGCCAGACGTGGCGCACGTCACGACATACAGTTGCACGTGTTTGCCATCCACGACAACGTGTGTATCGATCGTCACAAAGATATCTTCGCCAGGGTCGATCGTCTTGGCGCATTGGCGTTGCAACGCGCGCACGATCGGACGCAAAGCTGAGAGCGGATCCGTAACCTCTCGAAACTTTGTGCAGCGAATCACTTGGTGCAGGAGTTCAAAGCGCGGACACGACAGCCCCGGCTCGACCAACGTGGCTTCGCGAAGATCTGTGGCACCTCCGAAGACCTTGCAAGATCGTGCTCGCCAATACTCGTCAACGTTCTCGAACCTGTTGTATAGATTGACGTGCAAGAGGATTCCAAGATATGCCATCACTTCCGACAGTTTAAACGCAGTAGCAGGCGTGATGGAGCCTGTGACTTGTTCAGTAAGGGAACCGCTGCATGAAACGGCGGCACACGCACCTGTGGAAAGGCCATGGATGTTCGTTGCAGACACCACGTCTTCCCAAAACGTAATGGGTAAGTACGCAAAAAAGCTGGCCACTGCGGAATGATGAAACAAAGTGGTGTAGTCGTGGGACGCCACCTTCAGTGATGTCGGTACATGTTGAAGGGATGGAGGGAAGGGCAGTGCACGCCGGTTGTGCTGATCGATCGGAGCCATTGGTTCCAACGTAATGGCAGGTTTGACATGGGCGGTTGCCAACTGCACATGCAATTGCACCCCGTCGTGGTCCCAGTGTTTCGGATCTGTCGTGGCGTGCCATGGAATGTCAACGAACCAATCTTGGGATTCGGGGGATACGACGCAGCGAGCAACCATGACTGGGTCAACGTTCTTGATGCCCAAGCTGCAGAACAATTCTCGGCCCTGCACTAGTGTCAGCAAGTCGACTTTTGGATTCAGGTCGAAGTATTTCGTCAAGTTTGTGTTGACATGGAGCGAGTTGGACGGGTCAAACGCGAGCAGGCAGTCGTTTGGCAGCGGCACCCATTGAAGGAGATACGTAAATCGGCTTGAGATCAACTTGCGTTGCACTAGCCCAACAAGAACTGTCGCGCCGTCGTATTCCTTTCCACGCAGCCAGTCTTCCTCTTCACGATAATAGGCTACCAACGTGTTCTCGCACGGTTCCTAGCATGCACAAAGCCGCGTTTGTAAATGCGACAGGGTCATCCAATCGTACCATAGTCAACTTCACTCGTTTAGCGCCACTGGTGACAGGAACATGGCCGGCCGCCCCATCGCTTGGTCGGCTGGACGATCCTTGGACACTGTCCATTTTGGAGAAAATAGTCATTCATAAGTGATCTCTTGTAAAGTCGAGACACACAAAATACAAATAAATCCAATTGGGCAGGTATTCCAGATAGTATTGTATCTAAGACTGGCAACATGGCGATTCGATAGAAATCGGGTAGGACAGATATTCACGATGGTACTGTATCAAAAATTGTTTGGGAATGCATGTACATTTAATATATTCACGGTGGGACTGTGTCGGAGACTGATAAAATGTCGATTCTCGAAGTCTATATAGCTGCGCAGGTATTCTACGCAGTACTGCATCTAACATGATCACCATAAGACGATATTCACGGTGGCGCTGTATCTACGGTGGGCAAAATTCGCCAGTTGTTTGGCTTTCAACCTTGACATCTGCGGCAGTGCATCGTACTGGCCATGTTTCAATTAGTTGAGAGATGTCAACGCTCTCGCCACCGATTGCATGGCAGCTCGAACGAGCTCGGGTTTGCCCTGCGATCCCATGTGCCCAATGCGAAACACTTTTCCTGCCAAGTGACCGTAATTGCCACCGCAAATGAGGTGTTCACGCTTCAGAGCTTGCGCAAAGCTGTCCCATGCAATGTGGGGGGGTACATGCAGTGCCGTTACGGTTGGGGCAGCAAACTAGACGTAATATCAGCGCTCACAAAGCCCAACGTCCAACATGCAGATCCCGTTACCTCGAGGGTTTCGCAGTATAACGACAGACTAAGGTCCGCAGCCAACTTGTGGCATTCGGCGGCCGCAAGCGCGTGGCGCTGGATCACAGAACTCAATCCTTCCGCCTCCAATTCACGACATGCTTGCAACGTCGCTCGTACAGCAGGCCAATCCTTTGTGTACGGCGTGTACAAAGGCACAGCACGGGATAGTCCGTAGAAAGGCACCAATGCGTCGTATCCTTCGTACTTGACTTCGAAGATCTGATGGAGGTTAAGCACAGCATTACCGGTGCAGTTGCCAATGCAGTACATACTCGCTTCCACGCACGGTCCGACACGGTGGTTCCAGCCAAAGCAGCAGGACCGGAGAGTGCTTTTTGTGGCGCCAGCAGGCCAAGGTCGATGAGTTCGGCAGACACATTCAATGACACTGCGAATGAACTCGACACAAAGTCGACGAGAAGGAGACCATCCGAGGTTGATTCGCGTAATGCTGCACCGATGCCGGTCAAAGGATTCAAAATTCCTAGAATCGCAGTCAACGGGACAGGCATGCGATGGGCTGATAGTACCAGTTGGCGTTTCGCAGTGAACCATCGTAACAAGGCGCGGTTTGTGTTCATGGATAGCAGCAATGATCGTGTTGGGGTCGATGCCTGTCGTCCAAGAGGATTCGATCGTAATGACGGTCGCGCCAAGTCCTTTCGCCATGTCTGCAAATCCCTGATATCCATCATTGTGACTCGCCGCGATTGCAATAACTGATTGAAAACCTGTCCGTAAATACCGTTTGCACCACTGACGACAACGTCGCCAGGGCAAAGTACGCTCTTCATTGCACCCCACAAGCACGCCATGCCTTCGCCCGAACCAATTGCAATCGATCCATCAAACGACAGCAAGCGCTTGAGCGAGTCTTCCAGGTCAAAGTAATCTGCGGCAAACTCGTCCAGCTCGACGTCTGGTGACCCTACGTCCTCGGCGTATGCTTGACGCACCGTTGCCGTCATGGACGTCGGCCCAGGAACCATACGCAACATGGTCGACGAATTCAAAACACGTACAGAGTGCGTGTTGTGAGTTCTCCTCGAAAATTCGGTGAAATTGGTTCTCTAGAAATGGATGAAATATAAATATATATAGGTAATTGCTGGTGACATCGCGCAAATGCCCCAGCACTGCACAATCACCCGACGAGTTCAATCGTAGACTCTACTCACAAGCGCAACCGATATCCTTGATCGAGGTACCCAAGTGGCCATTGACGCTGTGCCGCTCGCTGTGAACTGTTTTCTGCAGCAGCTGGAAACCGGTGAGGCCTCCCTCTTTCTTATTGTAAGGCTCTACTCGCACATCCATATTGCAGACGAGTGCAAGATGCTGGCGTGAGGCTCTCGGGCTGTAGCACATGCGGCGATGTGAATGAATGGTCTTAGCGTTTGTGGGCTGTTGAATCGCCAAGATGGTGATGGGAGAAAACGAAGGGCAACGTCCCCAACGACTGGTCTGATTTTGTGCTTTGAGTATTTATAGCGAATCAATCGATTCGTTGTTTCCGTGTTGATTAACAAATTGGATATTTTGTAATAAAATCGTCAATTTTTTTCAATTCGAGGAAAAATATGGAGATTTCCCAGTTGAAGCTGCTCGCAGGATTTTCCGCGAGCCAATGAGAAGGGAGATACTGACTGACGCCCAACGAAGGTGCCACTTGAACATTTGATCGCTGGCGTGAAGGACGATCATGGTGTTCGCGGCGGTGAAGATTGCGGCGGTGGCTGCCATCGTTGCTTGCGGCGCTCTCGGCATGCAACTTCCCCCTCAACACGCGCGTGGGGGTGAGCTTTTTGCAGACCTTGTGAAGAATTCGATCTCGCTCGGATCGGAATCCCACCAGGAACAATGGTTCCAACAACAACTCGACCACTTCACGACAAAGGAACCGTTGCACTTCTTGCAGCGATACTACGTCGATGATACCTATTGGGGCAATCATGACAACAACCCCATTATCTTGTACATTGGTGGCGAAGCTCCTATGGACACAATGCCCAAAGGATTCATTGATGTCCTCGCCAAGGAGCACAATGCCAAAGTTGTCGCGTTGGAACATCGATTCTACGGCAAAAGCACACCTAAGAACGACCTGTCGACGGAAAACTTGCGTTTCTTGTCGATTGAACAAGCGTTGGCGGATCTGAACCACTTCATCCAAGAGTACACCAAGCAACTCGACACGAAGAACAACCCGTGGATCGCTGTCGGCGGCTCGTATCCTGGCGCTCTTTCCGCATGGTTCCGCATCGCATACCCCAACGCTACCGTCGCGTCCATTTCGTCGTCGGGAGTCGTGAAACCGATCTACAACTTCCATGGATTCGACGAACAAGTGGGTGACTCATCTTTTCTCGAGTTGATGCACGCTCACTCACATACGATGTGTTCAGGTGGCAGAGTCCGTGGGCCCCGAATGCGCTGATTCATTGCGACGCATCACCGCCGCATACGAGGCAGAAATTGCTGCCGGGCGCGGCAAACAAGTTAAAGCGTTGTTTGGTGCGGAAGCGTTGAACGACCCCGACTTCTTCTACATGTTGGCCGACTCGGCGGCCATGGCGGTGCAGTACGGCACCAAGGACAAGCTGTGTGGACCCATGGTGGCCGCCGTGAAGGCGAACGTCTCTTTGACCGAGGTAGGAAGCTCAAGTAGGGACCTTTTGATGCTGTGTTCTTGATGTCGAGAGCATTTGCTCAAGCATGTGTGTCTTGTAGGCGTTTGCCAACTTCACGCTGGCCAAGTACGGCAAAGAGTTCGGGTACGGTTGCTTTTACGATACGGGGTGCCTCAAGTCGAACGTCGAGCGTTGGCCGGAAGGCCGGTCGTGGCGCTGGCAAAAGTGCTCCCAGGTGGCTTTCTTCCAAGTACGAACGATCCCTGGTGACATGCATGAATGATTCATGAACCTCGCGAATAGGTTGCCCCCCACGTGGGAAGCCTCCGGTCGTCGATTGTCGACTTGGAATACCACGAAAACCAATGCTTCGAAATCTTTGGTGATGCGGTCGACCCTTCTGCGGGCGTGGCCGAAAACATCCAACGCTATGGCGGCGACAACCCCCAAGGACACAACATTTTCTATGCGAACGCGGGTGACGATCCGTGGCAGCGTGCTTCCGTCACGACTTCGTTGTCGGAGGATCAACCGTTTTACTTGGCGAAATGTGACTTGTGCGGCCACTGTGGCGACCTCCACAATGGCACGGCGGACCCTGCCCCGCGCAAGTACCAAAAAGAACTCATTCGCGAGTACATTGCGAAGTGGCTTGCCCCTTGGACTAGCCAAGTCGCAGCGGATGCTCGAGTGAACGCTGCGGCCGTGAACTACACGCCGAATGTGTCTGGGCAATCGTTGAACCATGCGAGCGAAGTATCGTTCCTCATTCTCACGCCCATCCTGTGCCTCTTTGTCGCGTTCAAGGCCATTATGCACGTCGATTTGGTCCGCGACGCGGCGGTGACTGTGCGCACGAGTCTGTTGTAAGCGGCAAACATTGCTTTCTGGCCAACGATGTAAATACTGGTAATACATGGTATTGCATTTCATCATGCAACTTGGTGTGCCACGCAGTCACACTGGCCAAAGGGCGATGGGAGCAGCAGAAGGGTCAAAGCGACACACTCCCTCACTCTATAGCATTCACGCAGCACGTGGAGCTCATTCGCCAGGTCTTTGGAGGTAATACGAGGTGCTGCCGCTTGATTCCGCCCATGCTGGTATTGCTATCGTTTGATTGACCAAGGCAACCCGCCAAAACCCGTACATTCCGTCCATTCGATGTACAAAGTACTTCAGTACATAAACAATGGCATACCAGAATTAATCTCAATAAGATGTCGTAATGTACGACATTTGTGATCGTACAGTACATGTGGAATTGAGCGCCAAATTTCTGGCGCTTGTCAAGTCACATCATTCCCAATCTCACACCATCGCCACGATGGACGAAACGTGGGCCGACGCTGCATGGAAAGGCCTCGAGAGTCAAGGATGGGAAGAAATGAAGCTGAGTGCGACCAACTTCTTCTACATTAGCCCAGCAATCGACTCGGTTGATGCGTTCCAGAAGAACGCGACGGCGTTTGGCTCGAAAGGTGAAGCTGTCATCTTCGCGCTGCAAAACACGACAGCCTTTGAACACATTTTGCCACATCTGTGGGAGCACATGCGATGCACGTTGGGATGGCAACTCTTCGTTCGTCGAGGACAAGTACCATGGTACGTCATGCCGAACATCGACACATTCGAACTCTGCCCCAAGGTCAACCTCTTTGAGTCCATGATCGACGCTGTTGAAGCGTACTTGGCTCCCGTCACCACAAACATCAAGCGAAAGCAGGCTATGTCGCCTCCCCTTGAGAATTCATCCAAGCGTCATAAAACTAGCCCAAGCGACGCAACTGTAGTCTCCTCTCCAAGTGCAGCTTCTGGCATATTGCCAGTATACGGCCAGGCTCCGTCGTCTCCAAGTCGTGAAGCTAGTTCCTTGGAGGCGAAGACTAAGCTTGTGACAGAAGACGTCGCAACTCCCACATGCACATCCTCTCGGACTTCGCGATCGGAAACACCTGCTTCCACCCCTACCAAGCGCTTGTCTCCCCGAGCTAAGACTGCAAAAGAACCATCGCCCTCCGCTGCTGATGTCAAAAAGTCCCCGACTACCAAGGCTACTCCGAGAACGCCCAAATCTTCAACTGGGTCCACGCCCCCTGGTGCCACCACTTCCAGATCGTCGATGGCGTCCACAAAGAGTACCCTGATGGAGAAGTCTCCACAATCTTTGAAGGTGCCGAAGTCGACGAGGCCCAAGACCCCCATCAAAGCTAAATCTGCATCGAAGCCTTCCGAATTCAAGGAAGATTCCCCAGTCGACAGCGTCATCACTTCCACAAGTGCACTCTACTTAAAGAATTTGTCGACCAAGTTGGGGTCAGTGGTATCTCGAAAATACGCAGGACCTGATTCAGCCGCTGCTGTATCAACCAAGACCGTGAATGGTACCGCAACACCCAAAAAAACTGAAGGTGCTGAGGCGACCCCATCAAGACGGGGATTGAAGAATGTCTCTGTCTCGACGCCTTCTTCGCGTGCGATCATTGATTCATCACAAAAGACCCCACACACGCCAAGAAAGAGGAATTCCAAACTATCTCTCTTCCAAGATAACGCGCTCGTTGAGAGCTCCCCAGTTGTGTCAACTACCCCGCCACCTGTCCACGTTGTGGATGTGACTACGCCATCGCCAACGCAACCGACTTCTTCGTTCACTGTGGCCACCAATTCAAGCGACACGGAACCGCTGGGATCCGTTCAAGTGTCCAAGGCCGCTACCACAAAATCCTCACTGGTCCCTTCAAGCTCAAAACCTACGAAATCCCCCACTATTTCAGGCTCAGCACTACAGTCATCTCCGTCTGTGGCGATTCAACCACGCAGAACGCCACCCGTGGTTGCGACTACGGTGTGCTCGAATTTGACATTGTCGTCCACCCCAAAGACAAAGAATCAAACGCAATTGGACTCCATCAACGACAAGCTTGTCAACACGTCACCTATGACGACATCGTCGCTCTTCTCTGTGCTGGACCTCTTAGGAACACCACCACACACCATCCCAAGCCCTGCAGCCTCGTCCGCCATCTCATGTGAACGAAAGAAAGCAGCAGAAGTCACCGTTACGACGCCGAACTGGGCCCTGGAATCCCCTGGCAAGGCAAGCAAACGCCCGTGGAATGTCGTCGTGGGCACCAGCACGAATCCATCGTCTCCGAAGAAACGCCGCAACGCCGCGCTAATTTCGACCATTTTGTCGTGCGATCAGTCTCCGCTCGCAGGCAAATCGGACGAGTCCATGGCGTCGTTCCTTGAAGAAACGGTTTGTGATGAACCGTCGCCGGTCCAACCTGCGCCGTGCTCGAAGTCGATGCCATCGTCGCAAAACGTTTACACAGCTGTGGGGGTTGACGACATTTTGAACAAAGCCATGAGCCAACTCGACAGCAAGGGCACACAGCCCGTCCCTGAGCTTTCTACGTCATACGTTACACCCCACGTCGTCGACAAGACCCAGCCACGCATGCAGTCGCCCATCAAGGCTGGACGAGAAGTCAGCTTTCGAACCAAAGTGATTCAACAGTTCAGTCACGGCGGATGGCGGTCCGTGGCCCCCAAGCTGTCGGACAAAGGATCGTACACGTACACCCACGACAAATTGAACGACTCTGTGCGGTTCACCCGCGACGAGTTGTTATCGTATGCGAACGACCACGACATCTTTCGCAACCCAGCCCTCATGGACCCCCACATGGTCATGCGAGTCATCAAACATGGAGGTCAACACCAGCGAAAGGCACCCAAGTCCTTCAAGCACCGACCCTCGTCCGAGTGGAGCCCCATCATCGTATGATTCCATCAGCAGGTCTAAAAAGAAGTGTGACCAAGTAGTGGCAGCGCCTTGTTCATGTGTAAATTATCAAGTGGCCGACCTCGTTTCCTACTTCCACTCATCGTTGCTGCTGCCTTCGTCGCTGCTGCTGTCGTCGACATTCATCACAGCCGAGCGAGCCAAAACTGCTGCAATCGGCCCGGTAAACTAGGCCATCGCAAGCGTTAGCACGTGCGTCCAATTGGTCGATCACATGTCGAACCTGTGGGTCGAAATGACGCGCCCGCATGGACGACGGATGGTTCGAACTGTATGGCTTGCGCTGTTTTCGTCGCTCGGTGAGCTCACTTGCATGGACGACGCGGTCGAGATACCTGTTCGACGGTCCGTAGAAATTCGCGAGGGTCATGGGGCAGCTATGTACAAATGCAAGATCCGGTCAATTGGTCATGGCCTCGAGCCAGACCTTGTTGATTTGGTTGAACAAGTCTAGCCGAGATGGCACAGCGGCCTTGCTGTTCTTGCGGCGGAAGCGTTCACACTACAACAGCGTTGGCATCACGATGGTCATAGCAACGACGTACGACTGCCTTGACGCTGGCTGCGTTGTCGGCTGCGGTCGGTCGGTCAACGGTGGCCCCGCGGTGGTCGCCCATGTCAGGGTTGTTCAAAATAGGATTCTCAATCGTGATGGCGTCGGTGTATGGCACGCCTATGCGGAGTGGCGCGATCGACTTTTTGCGCAATGGCGCTTCGTCCTGTTCTTGGTTGTCGTGTAGTTCGTCAACATCCCATGTCGCAGCCTCGGTGGAGGCCGCGGCATGTTGCACATTGTTGTTGTCCAGGACCGTGGGGAGCCGGTTGAATCGTTCGACGAGACCCGACTCGGCAGTACTGTCCTCGGGCTTGGCTTTCTTCACCTCTCGGTGCTGCTGCTTTCGTTTCAGGTGCCTCTCTTCCGTGTTACGTCGTTGTTTGGCCCAGGCCTTCTTGACCCATCGCTTCAAGCTAAATTTTTTCCGGTGGTCGCTGGAACCACCCATGTCGGCGGCAGGCTCCATCGTCCCGAGCTCGGCAAGGCGCTTCCAAGACTTCCGTTTCACCGGTGAACTCAAGCCGCGCTATTCTAGGCAAGAATACCAACATCGTCGAGAACGTTTCGCGTGGCGAACGAAGGAAAGTCAGTCGCCCAAACACTGCACAACTACGTTACAATTACGACTTGACAACTTGACTCGGGTACACGGTGAGCTGCCCGCCGTGTTGGGTAAAGGCAACGCCTCGTCGGCGCAGCGCGACGGGGAAGGTCGTGTACATGCGGCCGCCTCGACCGTTCAAGTGGTTGCCGACGCCCGTGATGAGCACGAACTTGCGAATTTTGTTTTCACGGCAGAACGATACGCAATACTCGAGCGTTTGGTACGCCTCCTGCACGTAGAGTCCGTGCAAGTCGACAGCGTTGCCGTTGACCAAGTTGTATTGGTTTTCCACGAAAAACGCGTACGCGGCATGTTCTCGTGTGACTTGGAGTTTCGCCCGCAACGTGGCAAGGCTATCCACGACAGTGGCTCGGAATGGAATCGCGACGACGGACGGTATACGTACGTACCTGCGCGTGCGTTCGACGCCCAAATGGTGCTGGCCCTTGCTACCGAGTTTTCGCAGGGCCTCTGTGTGCAGCACTTGCATTTCTTCCTGCAATTCCATCGTCTTTTGCTGATAGTACGCAAATCCGCGCGTTTCCGACTTCCATGACGCTACTCATACAGCATCAGGTCCAAGCGAGACGACCTCGACGTTGCATGGATCATCGCACCCTCCACATTCTCCAGCAAGTGCGACTCTTCCTGTTCCGCGGCCTGTTGCACATTCCTTGACGATTTATTTGAAGCAAACTTTGGCAACGACTCACCGTGACGTCCTCATCAACCGCCTTGCACGCCGACGGGAAGGTCGATTCCAACATGGCTTCAGCAGCTACCACAGACGAGTTGCTCACAAGGAGCGCCTGTGACGGCTTTCAGTGAGTATACCGCCGTGAACTAGTGCACGAGCACTACCGTACAAACAATGTCCGTGTCGATGGTTGGGAACGACGACTGGAGGAGCTCGAGCTTCATACGAGTCGTGAGAGTGCCCCGACCACCTGTAGGTAGCCCATGCAAAGATTTGTGCCACACGCTCAACGCTTCCTTCGATTTCCCTGGAGAAAAAGTGACAATGTGCGTAAGAATTGGACGGAATGGGATGGAAAGTGTACCACGTTGCAACTTTGTCAGCGTGGGAAACTCGTACTTGCAATTAACTTCCGGTGGTGGCGGTGCGACAGGCTGAGCAGACGGCTTAGCGACGGCCGCGTAGCTGAAAGTTTCAAGTGTTCCAGATTCATTCAGAAGCGACTTGGTCTCGACGAGCGCCTTCATCGTCTCGTGCAGGTTGAAGTTGTTGCACTCGAACGATTCCTCGATGATGGAGAGAGGAATCATGGGGTATCGATTCTGTAATTCCTTTAGTGGATGCTCGTCCGCGACGTTCATGGAGTCGAGCAGCCTACGTCACCCGTCGTGAGCGTTTGAGACAACAAAGGCGTCGCACTCCAGCACAATCGCCAAGGACAACAATTTGCCTGCTCCGCGCCTTTCCTTGAGAACTTGGATGAGTTCCCTGCATGCCTGGTCATCGAGACCGTATGACTCGAGTTCCTTCGTGAAGAGATTCCACTGAAGCTGTCCGTCCAGTTCCGTGTTGTGCCGAGGCGACTCGTCCGCAACGTCCATTTTTTGAATCGCCTTGAGGTTGAGGAGCTCGTCCAGAGCTTTCATGATATCACCATCACATTCAGCCAGCACAATTTGAATGTCGTCTTCAGAGATGGAGTACGCCACCATGTCGGAGAGCTGGTCGATCATCGCGCGCTCGTCCATCGCCATGCGCACTTTGGTCATATGGCGCGCGGAAGAGAAGATGGTTCTGTTTTAACCAATCGCAGCCGTTCTACCTCGGATATTTTGAAGTAGCGGCGACAACTTTGAAAATTTCTTCAGCGAATTCATCATGGCAACACCGCGCTCGACACAACGATGAGCCTGCTCAAAGAGACCCAGACAACATGTGAATGCGGGTCTCGATGGTCGCCAGGCAAACGCATGCTGATCGCTGGCGCATGGACTTGACAATCAAAAGGAAGAAGGGGCAAGGAAATACACTGTGGCCACAGCTGCGTGACTAGTTTCGGGACGCTGCTTTTGTGAAAAACTACCATGTTGGCGCCAATCGAAACCTCGGAAGGCGTGTAGGCGGGCCTGTAGCTTTCCTTGACCAAGGCCGTGATGACCGGTCACAGGAATTGTTGCTTTCGATCTTGGCACACGACACATATGACGATTCTGTTCACCTTGGATACGCGGAAACAAGGACATTGCCCGACGTAGGGGGCATCCCATACTTTCGTCACGCTTACCGCGAAAGGCACAAACGCCTGGCTGTCGTCGTCCATTTCGTGTTGGCGAAAGGACCTCCCTCCCAATACCTCAAAGACATTGCCGTCCTCCGCCACGGGGTCATCTTGGCGGCAAGCCCATGACATTCTTCCACCACATAGAGACCGAATCCCGACATCATACGCTTGTGCACACAACAAGTACATTCGGCGAGAACGTTGATACCGCCAACGTCCCTCTGGATTCGCCACAGTCAAAACGGCGCGGCTCTGCGCGTGAATGCATTCTGCGCGAACATGTACAGGCATGTCCGCTTCGACCAGAGTACGTGACGCTTGAGACGTCCCAAGGAGGAATTGACGAGCACGAGCTCCTTGCACAGCTCTAAATTAACACCATCACGACCACACGGCGCGATCCGACTATCCGTCGTAGTCGGACCTCCACACACCACTATCGCGCATAGGTTTAAAGTGGAGTCCGTGCCAAGGTTTTGGTGTAGGTTGGTCGACGGCACATTGCGCCTCTAGTACAAGTTCAAGCGATCACACGGGGTGCACAGGGATGGGAGCAGTCGACATTTACAACCGAAGGCGTCCGTTTGTCAGGTTCACGGACCCATTGCAGCAAGCACGCACACGTTGGAGGTGATCTAGACCAAGTATTCGCCTCTGATGTCACTAGGAAGGAAAGCTGCAACGCGAGCGCACAGCAAACCTGCGGGATGTTGCTGTTCATGTCCGACGCATGCGTTCGGGGGCAGATGTCGTTGGCCATTTCGTTGGCACGGGCCCGATGGCGGCACAAGTGGGAACGGCGTCGAGTGCAATAGGTCGTGTCGAGCAGCAGCCTGTCACGCCGACGTATGGACCACATCCACGTGTGATCTTGCAAAGAGTCGCATTTGGTACGAAGGAGCACGCGGCATTCGTTTGCTTCAACTTGTAAAGGTTGTCTCAAAACAGCACATGCAGAAACCAGACGTAGTCTGAGCTCCGAGGAAGGATGAGCCGCAGTTGTCAAATTCTCCATGCTACGCCTACGGTCTTGTGTTTGGGCAGTCGTGGCTGCCGCGGCAGTCGACACGGACCCGCATGTTCCGGAGCACGCACAAACGTTGGCGCCGTTGGAAGGTGTTTCCAACTTGAAGGTGGTCGTGCTGCGGTGGCCAGCCTTGGACGACCTGGACAAGGCAGCCGCGATGAAGTTTAACCCGATGTTTGACGTGACAAAGTACATTGAAAACGACGCGTTCGGGATGCTCCGGGCCCGCCTCATCGACCATGCGGTGGTGTACTTGCAACAGCTCGTACACAAGGTGCGCAACTTCAATCTGGACAACGTGAACGCGTCCGCCTTGTTGCAAAAGGTCAAAGGCAGGGTGAACGCCACATACACGTTGAACAAGGACCGATATGCCGAAATGTTGCAGCTGTCCATGATGACGTTTGACCAAGTGCGCGACTATTTCAACATCACCGACGCCCCGACCGCCGCTCCGTCCGCCGTACCATGCCCCGTGCCGCGTCTGGTCTACCAGTTTCAAGGACCGCCGTATCTGTACGCGACCAGCAGCGTGGCGCGACTGTACCAGCCGTATGCTGGCTACACCATGCATTACTTTGGCTCGACAACGACGGTGCCGCTGATCCCGGCGGTAGGGTATCCGTGGCCGTGGAACTCGTCCATCACTGCGGTCAACGCCGTGCTCGAGGCACAACAGACGTCGACCAACAGCTCGGTGACCGTCGGAGTCATGCAGGGCATTGAGACCATCCATCGAGAGTTCCATATCCCAACAGGGCTGCCTCGATTTCCCTCAAACGAGGGCGAGGCCCCCATCCCCCCGTACTCCGTGCTGTCCCTGCCCCGATCCCTCCCGCTGCATGACGCTTTGCTCCAGTTCTATGGGTACCCCAAGACGTCCGGGTTCAAAGCGATCACAGCATTGACATGGTATCGATCAACGGTCACGGTCTTTACGCCCCATCTCGCTGGCGCAGTGTCTACGTTGGCTACGTGGCCGTCCGACCCAGCCCTCCGTACGTCGAACTTGAAGACGCTGTTCGACGACGCCATCGACGCCGACATCGCTGGCCTTATCTACGGCATCGAATCCCCATCGACAACATGGCTCTCGGCCTTGGATCGACATAGCGACGAGTTTGCCGACGCGTGTCTCGGGCAGCTCCTCCTCGCGTCGCGCACGCTCCCGACAGCTCAAGCTGCGTTCGACATGTTGACCCGACGCAATGAACAGAAGTCGTTGTCTGCGAGCTGCTTGTGGGACCCGTTATCGGCAATCTTCACAGCAAAGATGCGATCCACGCGGAAGCCGCCACCAACACTCGACGCGCACAACGTCGCAGCACAAGTGGCTCTTCACGTGGCAACTCGCGTGTTCGACTTGGCGCCTACCAAGGCGACGATGCGCAAGCAGCGGGCCGCCACCGTCGAGAATCTTCTCCGTAACGCTGTTGAGATGCCCGTGTCTGCCATGGGCAGCAACGGCGTCGTTCACCTGGGGCCACACACGGAGAAGCCGTGTGTCGTGTTGGAGGAGATCAAAGAACCCGAGCTCGTCCACGTCGTCCAGCGCGTCCTCATTCGCCTCGGAGAGAGCTCCCTCCTCGCGGCGTCTGAAATCGACACCTTGTTCGCGTGTGTGTGTCTCCGGGTGCTCGAAATCCACCGCACGACCGAAGTGGTCGAGTGTACTGTGCGCTGACGTAATGAAGTCCATGGCGTCGAGTTGAGACCATCCATTCCTCGGTGGCCCTCGTACAACCTATTGAATTCGAGTGGACGTTCAACCGTGCCTTGGTTGGTTGTCATGGAATAATTGGGTCGTGGGTAAAGCCAACACACATACCGACGGCCACACAGACACAGTGAACCACACTAGCATGGTAACGAAGGAGGGGGACGGCGCTGCATTCCGATAAACTACACGCGAGCTTGACCGGGGAGCGCCAAAGGCCCCGTCATCCCTCCGTTCAAATAGCAGGGCCGCCCTGACGCCGGGATATGCCAACGTCGGTGCTGCACTGGACGATGAAACTTGTTGTGAGCAGCGCTTTTAGACCTTTCCTTTCTTAGACGCGACGAGGCGGCCTGTTTTGTTGAGGGCCATGACGGCGTTGATTCCGCGCTTGAACTTTGCTCGAATCGCGCCTGGGTTTTGAAGGTTGGTCCCGACGTGGCGCAATTGCGGCATCGCGTCGAGTTCAGCTTGCGTTGGGTTGGCCGTCGCATCCACGAGCCACGGGTGCGCGAGGACGTCGTCGGCGCTCAGGCGGGACTCAACGTCCACGACGAGCATCTTGCGGATGAAGTCTTTGGCGAGGTCCGAAATGTCGTTGAAGTATGGCGACGGAAAGTCGTACTCGGCCCGTCGAATCTAACGTGGCCATCGTTCGAGAGTCGGTCAAGCGAGGGATTTTGATACCTTTTCCATCTCTTGGACGGAGCTCTCGTCATAAAACGGAGGGAACCCGCATAGCAAAATGTACGTGATCACGCCCAAGCTCCAAATGTCACACTTTTGCTCGTACTGGACAAAAGCGCGGGTGAGAGAACGGCTCGAACGAATCGCGGTCGGGACGTACGGGGCGGTGCGCAATGACCTCTGGCGCAAAGTACCCCGGGGTTCCACACATCGTTTGCATGACGACGCCTTCGGACGCAATGATGGCGAAACCAAAGTCGGCGATTTTGATGGCGGCGTCGGCGGCGGTCGTGGCGTACAAAAGGTTTTCGGGCTTGAGGTCGCGGTGGGCAATGCCTTGTGCGTGGCAGTACACGAGGACGTTGGCGACGGTGCGAACAACCACCTGCAGACACACCATGCCGTGAAAAAATCGACGACAAGAGGGATAGATGATGGCAATACTACCTTGGCCTCGTTTTCTGTGTAGTGGTCCTTTGCAATGATCCGATCAAAGAGTTCACCGCCTGTAACGAGCTCCATGACGAGGTAGCACATGTCTCCCGCCTCGTTGTCGAACACATCGACGAGCTTGACAATGTTCGGGTGCTCGAGCTTGAACAGAATGTCCATTTCGCGGTGGATGTTGGCCAAGTCCTTCTTCTTCAGCGACGCCTTCTTGATGCACTTGACGGCAAAGGTCTCGCCCGTCGCTTTCAGCGTGCATTCCTTCACGATCGAAAAGTTTCCTAGCCTCACAATCAAATGACGTCGATGGCCCGAAGGAGTGGACCTACCTTCGCCCAATTGCCGACCAAGTGTGTACAGCGATTCAAAGGTTTGGGTTGGACGGTGTCGTGGGGATGGCGGGGCCGCAGCCACCAACTTTGCAGGAGACTTGGCAGGTGACAATGGTGGTGTCGCAGGTGTCCACTGAGCCCCGTCCTTGATGGGGGATCCAGCTTTGCGAGCAGGCGAAGTCGGCGCAGGCGGCGGAGTCTTGTGGGACATGGTGTTGGGTCGGCTCCAAATGGCGTTGTGGAGTCGAACAACTTGATTCTATTCCACCAACTACACTTGATATTTGTATGGTTCAGGAATAAAATAGCGCAGTTTTGTTCCACCGTCACCGATCCTCGCGTCAACGTACAGTAGCGGCGGATTTCCTCGGAAGAATGTACACTTCCTGTACAGTGCCGTCGTCGCTGCTGGCTCCACGGCACTGACATCCCTACGAGCAGCAAGTCTCACGCGCCGACTCGTGTGTTGGCGGTCGCGCGGTGGCGTCCACTAGTTGGTTCAAGCTTCGGGGTAGGCGTTTCAGGTCCTGGCGTAACGAATCTGCGATGTCGAGCGATGTCCCATATGCGAGGGTGCGGGACACTCCATCACCTCTGCACATGGCGGTTCAAATCATGTGGCTATGCCTGTCATCGAGGGTGCTGTCGTTGGCTCGATCAGCCTGAACGAGTTCGCGACTCTCGCCCAGGCAACATACACCCCAAACGGCAAGTGTAGCCGTGATGTTTCCGCAGCATCGTGGCCTTGAACGGTTCTCCTTCTTGCGACTCAAGCCCCATGAAGTCCGCTTTCTATTAGCTCTGTTGATTGCGCCAGGATCAATGTTGCGTTGTCAAGACGCTGGCGAGTGAAAAAGACATTCGGTGATTGCAGTGATGGACTCCCTGTGCCTTCTTCGACCAAGCTCCTCCATTAACGAGGTGTGTGTCGCAGTCAGCCGCTGAACTCGCCGACCTAGCTGCTGTCACACAACTCGTGCACGCTCGCTAGGGGTTTGAAGCTTGGACCAGGTCAGCTTGGCTATGCCTTGCATGTACAGTTGAAAACAACGCAGGCGATAACCACGGTGTTTACTGCCAGAGCAGCCCGTCGCTGAGCCATGTGCAAGCTCAGGATGTTCGTCGTGACACTGATCAAGGTACACGTGCTCAAGTTGTGCTCCAATGCGTTCGCACTCCTCGGTGCAAAGCTGCCCCTGACGTCTGCCAGGTCCAAACACTCGACGATCGCGTCGTCCATTGCGCTCAGTAAAGTAGGAGTTCTAGCCACAGCCGCTCAGCGAGACGACCGTCGCGAACTCACTGCCCATGGATCCTTTTGTGTTGACGCAGTACTGCTGAGCGACTTGACCATGCTATGACGTGACCAAGATGCGAATGCATGGCGTCGTAAACGTGGTGGATCTTCTTTCGAACACATGCTTCGTTGGATGTGTGGGATATTTGATCATGGCAACCCTTGTCGGTCGGAGTGGAGGCAGCGTCGAACGAAGATCTCCCCGCAGGAACAGACTGGCACTGTCGACGTGCTGTGCGTCCCACGAAGGATTCCCGATGAACTTAACACTGTCCTGCCCACGAACATGAGGTGAGCGATGCACCTTGGCGTTGTCAGACCAGAGGAAATCGATGGAACTACGCTACAAGCAACCGACGGTAGAGCTATTACAGTTTTATTTCTTTTTGTGGAGGAACGATGCCATGCTCACTCAATGGACGGGGTGCACGAGTGACGTGGTTGCTGAACATAAACGTACTTTTAAAGCGAAACCCAGGCGGTGACCTGTGCAGCTCTGGGCTTCATTGCATGCGCTCACGATAGATGAGGTCATGGTGCTTCTGTCGGATGTTGGAACGGCGACATTGCGACGCGGAGCAGTCTCGTTCCATGCAAAGGCAAGCAAGCAGCGTCGCGGAACAAATGAAGTCCCGAGTATTTTTACACAACTCGATGTGATGGCAGTGCCTTCTTGGGTTGTCCGCCCATCTCGACGTAACCTTGGTCGGTGCTGTCCGATTTGTTCCAGCACGTGCGAATGTATCCTCGCGCTTGGAGAAAGGCGAGCGCGCCCAGAAGCAAGCATATCGAGACGAAGACGACTGTGACGTACGTGTGTACAACGGTCCATCCCCACGGGTTCGCCTGGAAAGTGGGGTCGGGCACGCGGGTGTTGAGGGCTGTCGCTTGCATGAGGATGAAGACCATTGTCGTGAGCATTCCACTGTGTCTGGGACACTGACGTAGCATCGTTGTATTGGGCGAGCGAACTTTTTTGAAGTGCTCGAAAGCGAAACTTCCACCTGGTGTTCCCATCGACTGCGATCGCGACGGTTGTAACGACTAGAGGTGCTGAGTGGTCTTTTTGATGTAACATTCGGATTTTGGATTGTTCAGCGCCAAGCCTGCGCTATCTACGGCCACCACCACTCTTGGACGACTTGTGGGCAAAGCGACATCGATCACCAAAACGACAGGTTCCTTTGTCGTCAAACTCGCGACAGGGTTGATCGCTCTTGGTGTTGTCGAAGCCATTTCGCGCGTCGTTGGTGAGCAACGGAGGACTGTCTAGCTCTTCGACGACGTCTTGCGCGAGGCCCCAGAGAATGATGGAGATTCTTCCTTTGCCGCAAAATTTGTCTTCGGGCAACGCATTTACCCCATGCTTCCAGTTGATGTTGACATCGCGCCCAAACGCAAACAACATGCCGTTCGTCTGGGGAAAGTAGACACGGGATCCGTTCTTCGCGTGCAAAAACGACAACTCGCGTTCCGACCCAAACGATACACCCACTGTGATATTCTGATTGCGGGCACGGTGGGGGTTGTACGCGGCACTGTCGTGATGGAATGGCTTCCAGTTGGAACTGTCGCGGTACCAGTTGAAACGCGTGCCTTGGGAGCCTTGCTTCATGTTGAAGTATTCGCCAGTCCGTTTGAGCACATCTTCGTAGGTTGGACATCCTGTGGGGTTTTGCGAAATCAAATGACAACCTTCAGCCCATGGAATCCATTCCGACTTGGACTGTCCTTTCGATTGAATTGACCGCATCTCTTCGATCAACTTGTAATAGATACTCCAGTCGTCCTCAGCACAGAAAAAGTCGGGCACAACTACAACGTCGTCGTGCTTGAGGACCTTGTCAAACACTCGTTTCTTCGGCCCAACGACAATTCGCATAGAGGGACGAACTAGCGTGGAAGCAGGATCAAAGGACTCCGTGTTGCGACCCGTGTTTCCTTTGAGAGCCTTCACGGTGCAAGGAAGGACGGTTCCTACTCGTGGGTCATCGTCCAATGGAGGCAAGTTAGGGTCAATTTTCCCATCGCCGCGATGGGGTTCAGCCCGTCGTGCATTGTTGCGTCCGTGAGGACGCCCACGAGAGTCGTCGCGGCGATTTGGCGTATAACAAGATTCATCTTGCGCGGGATTTTCTTCATTTCCCTCTCGATATTTGGAACGTTGTTCGGTGCGTCCTCGTCCATCGCGACGACCGTCGTCATCGAGTGCATTGCATTCACGACGTCGATCGTGCCTATTTCTGGAGCGGCTTCGAGATCGTTGTGATCCACGGATTCCACGGGCTGGACTTCTTGATCGATGGCGCTTGCATTCAAGCTCTCCATTCAGCAGCTCTTCCTTGGATCGATGTGGCGCCATTGTGGGAATTTGCCGACTGGAATGGCGCACTCTCCCTCCGGAAATTACGCATTTACTCCCACAGGGTTATCCGTACATATATCGTATTCAACGGGTTTTCTCACCGAGGAAAAGTAAAATCCAAGATTGGAGGGATGATCTGACGACGACAGTCATCACGCCGATCGCTGGCGGCGACAAGAAGGCGAATCTCGGACACAGGCGCTTCCTTTCTTGTGAAGCTGCTCCTTCCAACGGCCCTCTCAACATCATATCGTAGAACCATACCGGAGCAACTGCCCTAGCTCTCGGTCACAACACGCCAACGAATGCTTGTTGAATCACTCGCGCATCAGTTTATCAACTACCAAGAGTGCGTGAACCGATATCAACACTTCGAACAAGACGTATATCGTTCTCTTACGACTGGCTTGCACAGCACAGCACACATAGTCACGCCAACGACAAGAGTGGGGTCATGTCTGCAGGACCCCACTGCAACACGCAGGACTGGCCAGCCGGCATTTGGTTGACCATGCATGCCAAAACTGGCAGATCGTTGGGGTCTCACGTGTTCTTTGCCAGATCGAATGGGGTTCGCACGAGCCTCTGCCCTAGGGCTTGCATCATCGCAACAACGCTAGGCGTCGAGATGCATAATGCTACAGCGAAGGTTGGCTAGAGATTTATTGCAGGATATTGGCCAACTCGATCGCTCCAGACGAGTTAATCAAATACCTAGTCATGCGAATCTCCTCCTTCGGCGACAGCAGGAGCGCAGCGGCGGCGAGGGCAGAGAAACCAAGATCTCCGTTTTGAGTGACATTGATCGTAACGATCTTGTTGCGAGGCAGTTCATTCGCGAGCGCTTTGATACCGAGATGCTCCATTAGATTGCACGTCGAGTCCGCCACACCCGTATCATACAGTCATTGCCCCAGCGCCTTGATATCTGCAGGGCCGAGTTCGCACACATGCAACGTTAGACGTGATGTCCAGGATGACAACGTGATGGTATCCAAGTGTGGCAGCGCGACCGAGTGGAACTCAAGGGACCACAATGTTGACTTTGGCAAAAGCGCCGTATAAAACTGCTCCACGATCACGACAGGCACGCCCCACGCCGAAAAGGACTCCATATACACAACCTGTCCAACCTGAGATTGAAGGCAGCTCGGAAGACATTCAATGCCAGCGAGGGTCCATCACAAAGATGGTGGGATGGGTGTGGGTGGTTGTTCTAGCAGGCAGCACCTGTGTCTAGATGTTGAGGTCGGCAAGCTTGGATGCTGCACAAGCGACACTTTGGACTCTATGGACGTCGCAGAAGGCTGGCTCAGCTCGAGGTATTGCAGGGACACATAAACGATAGAGCGAATACGAGCGCAGTCACGTGGCGGAAACCGGATCGTTTCCATCGCAGCTCTAGGCTTTGCAGGCATAACATAAGATCGTACCATTTTCAACTGGTTCGCCGACGAGGCTAGCCGCTTCAGTGAAGTTGGCGGCTGAGAGATGTACAAGCGGGGAGACGCTTGGGTGGAGCAGTTCAAACTACTCGTAGAAATGGACGACGGAAAGTTATTGTCATGGCTAGAATCGAGGATGCATTTGCTTGCGCCAAACCGCGGACGTACATCTCTTGCCAGAGGTCTTTCAGGTCAAGATGCATACACTTGTATACCACAGGTAACACAGGTAACCCAGGAGCAAAGGCTTGTGATGGAAGGGCTCGAGAAAGCTCAAAAGCGTCGGTATACAGAGCGCGATACGTTGTGAATGAGCTCTGGAAGGAGCCGCGGTGTACCTGCTTCGTCGTGCATAGTACGAACTAGGCCGGAGTGAAAACGTCTCACGGCATCGTTTGTTGCCTCTTCAAGTGGACTTGCAATGTTGCAGCAACGGTTCATGAGTCCTCAAATCGCAACTAGATGTACAGGGAAGTGCCGTCAAGCATGCCATCTCTACAAGATGTACTCCACTCCATGGGAACGAAATTGTCCACAACCGGTGGGATGTCGCCAGCCTGTGGAAAACCATGACAGGATACGTTGCAACGCGTAGAAGAGATCGTGCCCGACTGATATGTGGTGTTTTGCATGATTGCCATCCACGTTTGACGGATCATGCATTCAGTATGTTTTCGTACATGGCAAATGTATGCTCGAGCATCTCGAACGACAAACAGCTTTTGGCAACGAGCTGAAGACGTCGAGGTCGTCGAGGTAGCAGCTCGATTCAAGCTTGAAGTCGTGACGAACACGTGCGCTTCTTTGCCGTTCCAATGTGCCAGCATGGCGTCCCTCAAGACTTTCCATGTCAAACATCGACCCGAGAGTCACTTGTATTTGGAGGCTCGCGACGAGGATGTTGGCTAGTCAATGACGCAGTGCACCTTGGCCTGGCTGCCTCATTCCTGAGGCTTCATTCGGCAGCGCTGGGCAGCAGTGACACCGCGCGTACCGAAGGATTTTAGCCACTCTCGTAGGAATATGGATGGGGCGAGACGAAGCTTCTTACTCGAATGTTTGGTAACTCGGTTCCGGGGTGCTGATATGGCGGCTGTTGGGGCTGCTTGCACTGAGCCCACGTCATGGAGACATGCACGCAATAATTACAGGAACGCTCGTGTCGACAAATCGCACGTGCACAAGCAAACGCGTCGTCGTTTACGAATCGTGTGCTTCGTTGTCACCAGCATGCACGATTCAGTGCCATCGTGGCAAGCGATGGCTACGTCTCGGCAGCTTTCAAACACAATTTCTAGCGTGTTCGTCAGTTCAAGTGTTATTTCTACCACACAGACTGGTGTGGTCCTTCAAAGTCAGAGACGCATGAAAAAATAGCGTCGTGAGGTAATTGCTTGGACGCCATCACGTCGAGCGAGTTTTGGTCGACGTCGTCGATCGGGTTGCCGTCCAAGTCGATTACAAGGGGCGACGCGGATGTGACCGTCCGAGATGAGAGCGACTGCAGGAGGCCCATCGCTCCGGAAATCGAAATCGCGTTGTGTTGCATGGACAGCGACCGCAGCGACGGTGACATTCGCATCACGTAGCCGAGAAACAGCGCACCGCCATCGCCAATGCCGTTGGAATCCACACACAGTTCCGTGACTCGTGTGTCCCCCAGGACGTGCGCCAAGTGGCTGCATCCAAGTGACCCCATAGTTACGTGGTTCAAACAGAGCATGGTCACTGCAGACGTGCGTAGGGCAGTCGTTGCCAGCGCACGGACGCCACTGCTTCCAATGCGAGGATTGTCGGACAAGTTCAGCCAAGTGACAGTCGATTCGGCGAGCCCGCGTGCGAGATGGCTCACGTCTTCGCTTGTTAAGTCGCATTGCGTAAGGCTGAGTTGATGCAGAGCGAATGGGACGGAAAAGTCGAAGGAACTGAGGCTGGGGAAGGGCTCTTTGTGAGCGAAAAATGCCCACAGTGATGGGCACGTCCACAGTGCGTGGTAGAATTGTGAAAGAACTTTCGGGGTGGTCGGCATCGTCCAATTTCCTAGACTAAATCTTGTCACTGGTTGCGTTGCAAGCCAGTGGGTGATGGAGTTGACACTCTGTCGAGAGAGCGAGCCTGGTACGGGTTCAGAGGTTGCAGGATCCACCGTTGTGACGTCCTGAAGGCACAGCTGGGTCAGTTTGGAGTCGCGAATGTAAGCAAAAAGATCGTCCAGCGACGATACGCAGGAGTGGCTGAGGTCGAGCGATGTGAGATGGACCATTGAAGGCAGGACTTTCAAGAGCGGATTCATGGACTGGGGCCGACCAATCAGTTGTCCTTGCAGCCACGTGATGTGGTCAATTGGCAGCGCTGCTAGTTGGCGATACCATGCATGCAATGGCACGTCGATTTCGTTGGCTAAAGGGCAGGTGTATAGCGAAATCACTCTCGTCAAGGCCGTGCAGTTGCGCAGGACGTCCAAGTCAAAGACCGCGTGGACGTGTATTCGTTCAAAATACGATCGATCCGGCTCAAGACTCGCTACCTTCGGCGCGCTCACGTGGTCGAGATGCAATTCCGGCCACAGCATGTGGAATCGTGCGTAAAAGGAAGCAGTCCACAGTTGTTGCAGGTGTCCAAGCGAAGTCGACGTGCCCTGGAAAGCGTCCATGTAGTTGAAGAAGTCCAACGCGTCTGGGATGAAGAGGGCAATACGCTGAACAGCATCCGGTGGCAGCAGGGCGTGGGATGCGCTGGTACGTCCTGTCGTCACGCGCTGCTTCTTCATTGTCGCGATTCTTGCAGTGAGTTGTCGACGCTGGTTGACTACATTACACTATTTAAGAACTTGTCTGATGTGTTACGTTAAATAGAGTTAATCCAAGATCAGGAGAGTGTCGGGGCATGTTGAATTCCCAAGCGTCAAGCGTCAACACTATTGCGTCGAAATGGCGACGGCCTTGCTCACTACAAACTGCCACCATACAAGCTCCAGCGCATTGCCATGTACTTACCACACTGTCGAGACTTCTTCACCTACTTGATGTCATTCGCGGGCACGTCTCATCTCGTCAATCTCGACCGACTCGGACAGTTGTAGACACGAGCCTTCTTCAGCGAATTTATGGCTTCAACTGCAAGACGTAGGCAGCTTTGAAGGCGTGTACATGTACTACGACGTCATGCATCTGCACAATATCTACATCATGGGCCGGCTGAGGCTATGTTGTCTGCATGCAACCACCATTCACGAATGCCCCCAAGATGACAACGCCGTCCCGTACAAGTCGTCGCGCAATGGTATGATCAACTCGTCGAGAATAGAGGCATATATGCCGCATGTGAAACAGTGCACTTAACGCAAGCAATCGGCTCGATGCGCCGATGAGCGTATATGCAGCGCGTTCTACTTTGCTGGAGGCATCACATGAGAAATGCGGATTTATCGCGATTTTTCACATGTGTGAAATGTCCTTCCCCGGATATCAGTATCCGTATGCTTCGCATCATCTTGGGAAATCGACGATACAATGTGGCGGCGGCTGTGTCCTCGAGCAGGTTGCGATGAATTGAGCAACAAGTGCATGGACTTATGACGAAGTCCACGTGCCGTCACTTAGAGCTATCCTTTGAAGTCACGTTGAGCTGTGGCCAGAGTTTTGCGTGGAAGATCATGCCTGACAAGCAATGGATCGGTGTGATCGGGCGCAACGTGGTTGCGCTACGGGATTGCGACGCGACAGACTCTGTGTTGTACAAGCTTGTGCACCCGAAAGAAGTGACCGACTTGATTGATGCCCGTGTGCGAGACTACTTTCGGACGGAGGTACACAACAGTGTCACACACCACCATCATGTGAGCTCACCAGTATGCCAGAACAACCTCGCACAGCTCTATGGTACATCCACCCTTCGAATCCGTGGCCAACACCTCGATGGCTACATACACGATAGACGCATGGAAGAAGCCAAACGACAAGCACACCGCGGCGTTCGTTGCCCTTCCTGGCCTCCGCACTCTGCGGTAATCAGTGGAAGCCGCGACATTGCGCAAATCTCTAGTTTTTCTAGCCAGGACCCCGTGGAGTGTCTCTTTTCGTTCATTTGTTCGTCCAACAACAACATTGCGCGGATCCAACAGCTCGTGGACAAGCTGCGTGTGAATTATGGCGATAAACTAGCCGCCATCGACGACATGACCTGGTTCGCATTTCCGACTGTGGACCAACTCGCCTCGATTGACGAAAGCCAACTGCGGGAGCTCGGATTTGGATATCGCGCCCAGTATATTGTCAAATCCGCTGCGATTTTATCTGTACGCATCGGCCCGCCCTCGACGACTCACGAGGGCTGATGTAGGACCTGGGTGGTGAAGAGTACCTGTTGTCACTGCGGGCAAATCCTGATGCTGCACATGTGCAAACTGCACTAACACAGTTCAGTGGGGTGGGCCGAAAGGTGGCCGACTGCGTTGCGTTGTTTTCGCTCGACAAGCTGGAGGCCATCCCAGTGGACACCCATGTGTGGCAGATCTCATGTCGTGATTTTCAGTTCAAGAAGGTGCGTGGATGTTGCCATCTCTTCCTCGTGTCTGCGAGCGCTCGAGACTTTGTTTTGGGCTGCTCCAGGCCGCCACCAAGAGCTTAACGCCGACCATCTATGCAGAAGTCGGCAAATTGTACCAGAATCGATTCCAGCCCTACGCGGGGTGGGCCCACAGGTGCGTCACCGTTGCTGGTCTTGAGAACTTTGTCATTCGATCGTACGCCGCATTAGCATTCTGTTCGCTGCCGATTTGACCAAATTCAAAGCGATCCTGAGCCCAAGTCCTGGAAAGAAGAAACGCAAGACGATGACGCGTACCCTGCCACCTATCCCAGTCGAATCACCGGCAGCGACGGAGCAAGTGCACCACGCGAACGGTCGCAAGATGCGATCGTCCAAGAAATGACTGGAGATGGAGTAGACTTCACGACGCATTACTCGCTCTATGCGTTCGGTTCCCCAAACGAGCATGCCTGCTAACGCGTGTCAAGTACAAATTTAGCCATCCTTCTGAGCAGTGTGCGTTCTGTGCTTCAGGTCTTGGCCCCTTGCTTGTGTTAACAGGAAATGCGCGCACTCTCTTCGGCCAGCGTCGAGGGCAAGATCCCGCGCTGTTTTGCCATCCTGCGTCGGAGCCGTGAAATCGTTGTAATTCAAGGGCAGTGGGCCTTACATTGTTGACCAGAGCCACGTTTGCGTGGTGGCACAGAAGTTTCACAATTTCCAAATGTCCATGCCAGGCCGCAATCATCAGCGCCGTGTTGCCATTCTACATGGGCTTGATCGCGTTCATTGCTCGGTCGGTGACAAAACGTACCAATTTGTCGGCTAGGTCGACTTGGGCTTCGTGCGCAAGCAGCAACTTGACTACAGCCGTGTGACCGCCGCTCGTGGCTCGCATGAGAGGCGTCTCACCCGCCTGTGAGCAATGTTAACGCGGTGCGTGAACACCAAACATCACCTTGTCGGCGTGATCAACTTCTGCGTGGTTGTCGAGAAGGAGTTTTGCAATCGTAGCATCCCCGAGCTCCGCGGCAGCAGTCAGAGCGGTGTATCCGCTCTACACGATATGCAAGCTTAGTACGATGATGGGTGGATGCGAGGTACCTTGGTTGCAATATTCGGGTTGGCGTGTTGCTCGAGCAGTAGTTCGACCACTTTTACATCGCCATTGATGGAGGCCCAGTACACTGCTGTCAGTGGCTACACACGGACAGTGGTGAGCCTCGTGGCGAGCAGCCCCAAGCATATGAATCGTCGTACGTCGCCCATGATTTCACTCATCGTCCAGTCCACGTTGGCGCCTTGGGCCAAAAGCGATCGGACAGTGTCGAGTTGACCATTGCTGGCCGCGTCCACCATCTTGTACTCCTTCGAGAAGAAGAGCGGGATCTTGGCCTGCACAACGGGCATGCGCTGTCATGTGCCATCGCAGCACGGTGTACATACCAGTGTCGGATACGCAAAGTACAGCATGGCAAGCACAATCGCAGTGTACAAGTACCACACGACCTCCCACCCCATGTCGTCCCATGATCCAGTTGTCCAGCTGAAGTGCTTTGTCATGTCGGGCAAATTTGAAATGCGGTCGATACACACTGAAAAAACATGGTACAATTGAACATGTTTATGCCACAGAACCAATCGGATGGCCGAAGGAACATGCCGACGGCGGATGATCTTTGCGTTGGCCGGACGCAGCAAGTGTGGGTGCAGCTCACAGCCACACTCTCGTCGCGGCAAGTCTATTCAACACGTTGAGGTATCGAACCGATGAACGGCGACGTGTGTTCCCGGCGTGTGCAAATCAACATGGGCCACGACTTACAGCTCACGAACCTGCATGGCATCCTGAGGTCCCAAACATGCAGAGATGACCAAACTTCTTGCGGTACTCGGGCTTTCGTATTTCTCGTTATTTTCGCTGCGGTCGCGCCGCCGTTGACTGGTTCCACCACAAAAGTGGCAGTCCTCCAGCCGACCAGACAACATTCCGCGATCGTTTGGAGACATGGCACAATCGGAGCTTGAGTGTCCATCGGTTGAGTCACAGCACCCGATGCCGCCCCCCGTGGTTTGCCAGCACTAGCGCCACGGACCATCCCACCGACAACGAGACATACAACGTGCCTGAATCGGTGGCGTCCATCTCGCTCCGATCGATGGGAGATTCGACCATCGCATTACAGAACAGCAACAAGGACAAAACGGACGGTGTGATGAGAGCAAGGTACCTGATGAAGCAAGGCCGCGTCCTGTAAAGCTGGAAGACGCGGTTTGATGTGCTGTGCAAGATCTGGTGCTTGCGCAACTATGCAGACAGGAGCTGGTCTTCGCCTGGGCGAAGATCACAACGCGAAAGCCGACGATTGGGACGGTGAGCTCAACGGGTTTATCATTTACATGACCACGTGCTTTATGTACCAGAGCTCTAGCAACGACTTGGAAGTTGCGAGTGGCGACGCAGGTAGATTTCATCGTCGACCACTTGTTCGAGGCTGATTTCCAAGGTAGCGTGCGGAATCGCCAACAAAACACCGCACAATTTTCACTTGACATTGGTGGCTAGGCCGTTGGTCAAGCGAAGCAAGGTCGTGTCGGTCCACCGCCAACGCTACTTCGTCCTGTCGGACTCGATGATGCTTTGGCTCATCAGTGCGACTACACATCGACAACTCGACCCCACGTGGGCAAATACGAATCAAGCGCGTGGACAGGGATGCACAGATCCTTATCTCGTACACAAGCGAAGGACAAAGTGTACCCCTTCGGCAACATTTACTTTTTATTGGTGGTCGAGATGAACCTGCAAGGTTTTCAAGTGCCAAAGAGCAGCTTCCGCAGACTTGTTCCTTTCCATACGAACTAGACATGAACCTGTAAAGTCCATCAACGGCGTTGCCGGGAGCTGTACTTTGGACGACTGGTTTGAATTTGCCCATGCTCGTGGAGGACGGCCTCCGCCTCGTTATGACCGCCAACGGCAGCAATCGGATGGGCTGTCGTCGGGTTGGGTATGTGTCAGCATCTCAGAGACAATTGAATCGTCGCGTCTGTGAATTCAAGTCAGATCGACACCTCCGACGATTTCGTGGTGCTGGCAAAAAGCACTCGCCCGCCTTGGATACGTTGAATTGCACTCATCGCGTTCGCCTGAAACAGACGCAACCTGCAACTAGGCCGCAAGCGCAGCCTTTCATGAACGGCGATGGACACCATGTCGAGCATGGCCACTACGACGTCAATGGAGATCGTATCGTGCAGATCCGAGATAGGTGGGATTCTAGAATCTCAATTCTACTCGGTGAGTTGTCGGGTTGTAATGTGTGCGTCCCAAACCGAGCACGCTGACAAGACTGGGAGCGTTTGTGGCCTTGGAGGGATTTCGCCCACGTGACATGGAGGGGTGCATACGAGCAATATAAACAACGCGAGCGCAATGCCGTCCAATTCAGGCGTTGGGCAATGCAACTCAATTGTGTGAACATGCAGGTCGACTTTAGCCAGGAGGACTGCGACCGGCACGCCCTCTTCTCGCCGCTCTCCATCGCAGTCGTAGACAAGTGCATGGGTTTGGAACACAGGAGTGATTAACACTCTAAATCACACACACTTTCGTCACCTACGCTTGCATCGACACGCGCATGACATCGTTCGCAGTCACCGAGCACCGCTTGACGCTTGGCATTTTATCTAGCATCGACTTGAGCAAAGAGACTTCGTCACTGGTAACGGCAAGTCCTTCTAACTTGAGCTCGTCCAAGTTTTGGCGTCGGCGGCCGATGCACAGAACGAGTGCAACCGCTCCTGCAAACTGAATGGGGTTTCCAATCACATGAACAACTCGCACGCAAGCCGCCAGGACAAGCGCGTTGGCGATCAGGACGACATCGGCATCTCTCATGCAGGTATCGAGAAGGTAGAGCTCCTGTACGTTCTTGGACCGGGACAAGGCCTTCGCCACGGCATCCCACCCTTCCAGGTCCATCAGCGTGCCTTCAATCGTGAGGGTACGCAGCGACTTCCCGATTCGAATCAACTCCCCCAAAGCAAACATGCCGCGGCATGTCAATCGCATGTCGTCCAAGTGGAGATTCGTCGTGCTGCCTCTGGCCAGCCCTGCGAAAAGCAGCTCCGCCTGATGATCCGTAAGCTCCGAGCTCTCGAGTTTTACACGGTTCGCCAGTATAGGACATTCACCCAAGCCGGTCAAAATGGCACCAAAGGCAATGTTGGACAAGGTGAGGGACTTGAGGGAGCTCCTCGCCAACGCGACAACAAACCGATGCATCGTCGCGACGTGGTTGTCCAATTCAAAGGAGCAGTAACTCAACGTGACGGACTCGACGCGTTTGCGCTTAAGCCAGACCGTCAATAGAAGTGCTCGCTCGACCGTGATCGCTACAGGATTCTACGACAACAAATCAGATTGTTATAACGTTGTTGTACCACGTATTGACGTACCGAGAACGTGCCCATGGCTAAGCTGGTCAGCTTTGAGTTGCATACAAACTCTAGCGCATCGTCCAAGAACTCGTCATTCAATTCTTCGAGATTCAAATCACGTAGCCACGGAAGCTTCGGCAAAAGCGCCACCAGGTTGTCGCCGCCACCTCCGCCAGACAGATCACGCTCAGTAAACGACAGTTGCAGTACTCTCCAGCGCTTGGCCAGTCGATCACCCCATTCGTGGATCGGGATGGTCACTTGATCGTCGCACGGCCAGGACTGCAACGCGACTGCTTTGCCCGCTGGAACGACTCGCCACAGCCAATCCAAGTCGTACACATTATCATGGATGTGTACCATCGACACGAACTGGGCCATTCGGTACAACTTATTCGCATTTGCAGCGTCGACAGAGCGCAAGTGAAGCTCAGGCCACACGTCGTTGGCGGTGACATGGTGCGTGTTGACCAAAGACCAGAAGTGCCGAAGGTCGCCCAGAGAATGCGTCGATTGAAACGCACGCAGGTAAACGAAGAACGAATCCACAGGAAGAAATGTTGCGATGAGCTGGATCAGCGGTGGCGGCAGGTTGCGCGGGTGCCCGCTCGCTGTGACTCCTCGACGCGGTGCTTTCCCAAGCGGGCGAACCATGACTTCAAAGTGGAAGACAGGCAAGGATTTGCAATGCTATGATGCCATTGGTTTCAATTGAGCGGCATGAGCCAATGGAATTGAATTAGTTTCAGAAAATTGACGAATCACCCAAGCGAATTCAATTGTGCGTGGTTTCGCCAACACACCTGCCGTGATGGAGCACCAACTGCGGCGCTCACGGCGGCAACTCATGCGGGCGCAGCAGTTGGCCGAAGCACGCCCGGAGAGAGTAAAACGATCAAAGATTCAAGACTCGACAGCGATATCGACTCCGGAATCCGTGAAGACCAAGCCGTCGTCCTCCAAAGGAAAGCTCAACCGTACCCTTGGGTCCAAGGACTCACATTGTGACGACTCCTCGAACGACAACGTATTCAACGATATGCCTGCTAAAAAATCCACCTCGTCAGCTCTTCATGAAGAATCCAACGCTCCTGACTCCACGTTCGCCATGGGCAATCGCCATGCCACAGACTACTTTTCGTCCCGCAGGATTCGTGCGTACAGTCTGGCGGTCCATACAACCTCACCAGTCGTTCAACTACTAGGCAAGAAGACCAAAGACGACAAGAAGGCTACAGTGCTGGCTCAGTTGGATGCCGACGAGGTCCGCGATGCGCTTCGCGTTTGGGATGCGATGAGCAACGATCGCCTTGTTCCGAAGCAACTAGCAGTCTATTCTACGCATCTCAGACAATGGGAACACCAACTTTTCGCCGGTTTCAATTTACTATTTACTGGACTAGGCTCGAAGTTGCATCTGCTCCAGGTAGACCATCCGCCTTGGCTTAGCACGAGGCACATGTTGACCTGGTAGACGTTTGCAACCACCTTGATTAGCGTGCACGTACTCGAGATCCATGGGTACCTTCCGTCCGTGTCGATCCGATTTGTGCTTACGACTTTATATGCAAATGTAAGTTCGTTCGAGCGTAGTCGCGATGGCTAACCGGTGTCCGAAGCTATTCAAGCGGAAGCCAACACCGAATCGGACCTTGGAGGAACAGGTGGCTTTCATCCACTGCTCTGAACTTTGCCCACCGGTTCGCCATGTCTAGTGCCTGGAATTCGTCCATCTGATGCACACGTCCCCCGCTTCCGCGTCCCTGTGCCTTGTTATCCACTCCCTCGACGGCGTCTCCCTCCGTGGACCAGACACTCAGCGCGCGCTCAGCATCCTCGCCGCCTGTCGATACATTCACGTGGCCGCGAGCGTCGACCACGTGAACGCGGCCTCGTTGTGGGAAGAATCGGACATGAAGCGATTTGGGTGGCTGGAACACATCGTGCACACTTATGCTCCGTATACCCAAGAAACGCTGGTCACGACGTGGGGCAACAAGGGGAAGGCCGGGAGACACGCCCCCACGGCACTCAGTGGGATCAAGTACATCTTGGAGAGCCTCACGCCGACAGACTTAGCCGTGCTGCGGGCGCTTGGGGCGGAGCAGCTGCAAACCGGCGGTGCCATGGTCGATTCAAAGCCGTTCGTGGACCTGTGCCGCAAAAAGATGCTCGTGAGCTCGTTGCAAGCCATGCGGAATTCGATCGCATGTTTGAAAGAACACGGCCTTGTCGCGACCAACAAAATCGATCAGTTGCGCATTCCATTTAGCGACCTGACGATTCAACACACCATTCTCGGCCACAGGCCCATCGATGCACTCGACCACGACAAGCAAGGCGATCCCATGGATGACGACAACATCACGGAGCCAAGCTCCAGCCAAGCAGAGTAGAAAATTAGGCATTCGCTATAAAATACTCAGCGTGGTTTTAGGAGGCGTGATACTCGGGAGGCCGCCAGCGCCCTTGGGTGTTTAGTTGCCAGCGACTCCCTTGGATGGTTAGTTGCCATCGCTTCGATAAATGCCTTGCTGTGAATTTCTTGCGAGAGGAGCCGACGGAATACTCCATTAACACTGTGTCTCTCGTTTCCCCGGAGATACCATGTCTCCTGGCTATCACCTCTGTCTCGAGGCGTTTTGGAGATTGGTGTCCAAAGGACAATGCAGTGGAAGGATGCGACGTGATTTATATGATACGATATGATACGAGTGGTTTGCGACAATAGCTGAGCCTGTAATCTGCTGCGGTGGTGGAGTGAGCCCGTCCCAAAATCGGCTAGTCCCCAACGGCTTGGAACTTCAGCGCGACTGGTTTGGCAATGTTTCGCAAGACCTTGGTCGCGTTTTCAAACCCGAGGTCTGTCACTTTCATTGTGCCGATTTCGACGAGGACATCACCGACAGCGACTCGGCGCAGCCCAGCGCAAGTGTTGCGGCCAGTCTTGCGAGTCACCACCGGCACCGGCCCGGACTCAGTCAGGAGTTCCTTGACCGTCAGTCCAAACGGCCCGTCACTCCACTGGACGCAGTACATACTGGCCTCATCCAATTTCATCAATGCGGCTTGATGGGAGGTCGAGTCGGCGGCGCCTTGTGCGGCAGCGACGGCATCTGCAGGACCCGCCACTTGACGGAACCGGAGCACAGCTGGCTTCGGCACTGATTTTATGAAGCTCATTGCGGCGTCAAACCCCAAGTCCCCGCATGCTTTTTCGTTGATCATGACGAGCTCGTCTCCTGGCGCGACGAGCGCCAAGTGCGGGGATGTGCCTTTGCCCGTCAATCGCTTCACGTAAGGAATCGCAGTCTGCGTTGTGATGCCGAGAGTCATGCCCAGATTGCCCTCCTCCCACAAAAATTCGTATTCGGATGGCTCAAGTGGAGGGAGCATGGGCGAGTTGTCTTCGGGGAGGTCGTGTGCCCGTCGAAACCGCATGCAAATGGGTTTCTTCAGGTCCTTGAGCATCCCCATGAGTGCCGGCATCTTGTACTCTCGTGTTTGGTTGGCGTTGATGTAGACCAGGATGTCACCTTCCGAGACAAACTTGGACGCAGTTGACACGTGCGACGACACGCGCTTGACAATGGGCATGCGGTGCGTAGGGTCTTCTACTAGCACGAGGCCCAGCGCGCCGCCTTCCCACATGAAGTCGTACTCGTTCTTTCGAATTGGCGGCATCATTTTGTGGTTGAATGCGTCGTCAATTTCTTCAGAGAAGTCCGACATCACGGACGGCGCGCTGTGTCTGTCTTCGTCAATTGGTGCCTGTTGAAACGAACTTCGCATGGAGTACTGGTCGCTGTATTCGCTAAATGCAGATGATGTCGACGTGGACGCATGAGACTGTGGAATGCTGCTGCCTCCGCGGAGGTGGGGAACTTCCCGACGTTGCTGTGGTGCCGGGGGTGAAGCCAAGTCTTGTCGAGGATCGCGTGGCCGTTCTTGGTACCGAGGTGGATTGACCGCTGGTGAAGGAGGAGGCGGGGTCTCCCGACGAGAGGCTCCGGCAGACTCGTATTGAGCACGTTGCTGTTGCAAGCGCATATGTAGTTCGTGCGTGGATGGCACGTCGTGTGGACTCGGCTGATGCTGTCGGGGAATCGGAGGTTGCTGGGAAATGTGCTGACGCTGCGTGGGTTGTTGTCCGTATGGTCCCGGTACTGGAGCTTGTTGTCGCAAGGAGGAAGCCTGTTGCTGGGATGGCATGTGCATTCGGCTCTGATCTTGCAATGATGGATGCTGAGGAGACGGCGGCAACCTGGATGAGCGGGACTTTACCACGGATGTTTGTTGCTGCTGTGGATATGAAGGCTGTATGTACTGCGGCGGCTGTCGGCTGTGTGGCAATGGGGATGTGTTTTGAAAACCCTGTCGCGATGGAGCTGCGTGGGTCGTGATAACCTGTGACCTGTGGACACTGTTCATGTTCTGGTATTCATTTCCAGTCGTGAGCCTGTTCAGCCGCTGCTTCACTTGCTCCATGCGTTGGTTCATGTCGTCCGCCATGGCTTTAGCGGCGTTGTCAGCGGTAAAGTCTGGTGTTCCTGGGAATGGACTTCAGCACCCAGTTCAAATCGCTGGATTATCCGGTCAAACTCAAAATACGTATTCTCTTCTCATACTGCATGCAAGAAAACAATTCATCAAGAGATTGGTATAGTATACAATTTCAAGTATTTCAAAGGCAATCATCCGGATAAAACGTGGGACAATTCGCCGTCTAGTTCGATTTAAGTCCGACGACATGTTGAATGCCGCCATGTGCTCGCAAGCGGGTCGCCGCGTACGACGCAAGCACGCCAAGCCTACGAACACCAACTAGCTGGTAGTTGTAGTGTTGTCAAATGCAGCAGATGCTCTCGTTCGTCTATCCCACCTCTCGAGGTTGACGCCAAAGTCCAATCAACTGTCCCTCTCCACTCGACTCTTGGGGCATCCTGCCCGGAGATGTTGACCAAATTCCTGCACCGATGGTTTGGGCACTATAACATTATCGTGATTCGAGGTACGGCGTCGTCGACGTGGCATCCCAGCGCAATTAGGTTTTGGCTAGGTTGACCATGGTCTACCCCACCGAGCTTGGACAGGAACGTGATGGTTTGGCGCAGCTCAGGACAACTGGATGGCGATGTCCTCACATCAGGCAGCTATCACCCCACGAGCGCTATAAGATTCCGATATCGTGATACGGCTATTGAACCACGTGCGCTCCTCCAGGTCGAGCAAAGTCCAAGATATGACATGATTGTCATGGGTGGCAATATAGCATCAATCTTTCTACCTCTCTGCACCTGGATGAACGGAGCCACCACAATGCCATGAGGGTAAAAAGTCATGTCCACCATGGTCTTCGTTGTTAGGAACACTTGTGGATAAGTCCAATGAATTCCTTTGTACGCTTGTCAGCCTGAGCTACGACAGGCAAAGACGGTAACTGAGGAAGCTGGAGGCATCATGATGGCCAACCTGGCCAAGGTACACTACAGCGGTGCAGACATCGAGCATACATCCACGACACTCCCATCGGAACAACACAGTATCACGTCATCGACATGATCACGCAGAAGCCAACGGTAACCAACTCACCGCCCTTCTGGAGCAGGACATAGGAGGCGCAATGCTTCGTACCTCGACGTTGTCTGTCGTTCGCGAAGCGCCAATTTGGGACATCCAAGACAGGTTTGCAACAACAAAGAGCTGGTTGTCATCATGTGCACTGTATCATGCAGTGTGGTTGAATCATGCGAGGTTGAGGATGTATCATTCATAGAGAAATATCCACTTGTGTTGGTTGACAGGCGTCAACAGGGCGAGAAGGGTGTGCAAACCTCTTGCCAGCAAAAACTTCCCCACGTCGCAACACTGCCGACACCGCCAACGATAAGTAGCTCTCCTTCAGTCACTACTTGATAGGCCACGAACTTGGGTCGAGCATTTGCTACGCGTTGTTGGCGTTCCAGAGCGTTCACGGGCTGGGGGCCGTGGTGTTGTACGAGTCTTCGGTGGTCTATGCGGTGGAGGCGCACGTGCCATTCACCTCCATCGCCCATGGTAATGAGTCGAATTCGGGTGCATTCACGATGAAGGTGCGATGTGGTTTGGTTGGACGGCATACCACGAAAGCCCAAGGCGTTCACAACCGTCTTCTCGACGGGCAGCGTCCAAGCAACCCAGAGTTGCAAAGATTTTGTCGGGGAGTTGCAGCAATTGGCGAGAACATCGGCACTTACGTCATACGTGGCCGACACACAAAATGCAGAGCCATGCCTTATCAACCGCTAAATCCTTCCTGATTGACTAGTTTTTGTGGCATATCCCGCTAGCGGCATCGTCTAGAGTCGCCTCGAGTCCATAGTGCTCGTGTCAGACTCCTACCTAGCCGCTGACCCTCGAATACGCTACATGAAAGGGAACCTTTGACATTGCATGTCTCGATGGGAACGGTGGATGTCGAGGCAGAAAGCGGTCGAGGCACATACGAAGTACACAAAGTGGTGTATGAATTGGAATGATTAAACGTTAGTCATGCAAACAAGCTAAAAGTCGCCGCCAAAGTCGGCACCGCCACCTCCTCCGCCGTAGTCTCCACCGCCGTAATCGCCACCGCCGTAGTTGCCACCGTAATCGCCATGGTTGTGATGGCCATCGGCCAAAGCCTCACCGATGAGGACACCACCGACAATCCCTGCCGTGGCACCAATGGCGGCACCGGCCGCCATGTTGCCACCTCCGTATCCGTAGCCGCCACCATAGCCGCCACCGTAGCCATAAGGCTGCTGGACGACCACTGGCGGCTGGGATACGTACGCGACGCCGCCCGATGGAACGTAGACAGGCTCGGCTTCGACCACCCTGCCGCAGCAGCAGCGCCAGATGACCAAGGTGAGCGCGATGGCCCCGATGCCGACTAAAATCCATACCCAGAACGGCGTTCCGGACGACGGCTTGGAGATGGGAGTTGGGTCCGAGTCACACCCGCACGATGCAGCGTTGATTGGAATCACACAACGTGCTGCTGGAGGGCAGCAGCACGCTTGTTTGACGCCGCCGCTGAGCCATGGGCCACAATATTTGCCTGGAAGGCCCTTGAACGCGTCGCCGCACTGGGAGGGGTCGTTGGCGCAGCGCTGGCATGCAGACGTGCCGGGGAACGGTGTCATGGCCGGCGTCGTCTGTGCCGATACGGAGAGCGAGCACAGGGTGAAGCACAGGGCTGCCACGAACAGCATGATGCGTCGGTATTCCCCCATTCCGTCGGGTTGATCTTGTTGGTTGCGAGAATTTGGAATTGCGAAACTGTTTATCGAAGAGTCTTGTTTTTGAAGGTGGAACAATATAAAACAGGACGGTGCGCAGGTGACCACAGCCACCGGGTTCACTCCGCCAGGGAGAGCTTGATGCACGGAGTTTGACGAATGGCTATGCATGCCGAACTTGGCATGGACATCAGGTGGATTTGAATTGTTGCCTCGTCGAAATATGCCATTCGCTGGTCTGGCAGGATTCCAAGTGTTACGACGTCGTCGAGAGCGTATCGAATCTCCGTCTCGCAGATTCAACAGTAAAATGTACTCACTGTCAATCCCAGCATAACCGCAACACCACGGAACAGATCTAGGTAGTCAGGTTGGTCCAAGATGGACTTGGACGAACCTCCGCTGAATGTGTCACCCGTTCAGCTGTAGGACGATGTGCCAAAGGCGTGGCGTGGTTGGGAGTCGATTCCATCGGCCTCAAGTCGCATCGCATCGTTGTGTGGGAGGGCACTTGCCTTGGTTCGACTTGTGCTTCAAAGTCTCGTGGGCTCCCTCCAAGCGAAGGCATCTTGAGAAGTCACCCCCGCGATCCCTAGACACGTTCAGCACAATTTTCATGTGCACTCCCCTTGAAAAACCAATCGCGACGAACGGCGCGGTCGAAACCCCTTCTATGGTAGTGGCGCACAGCGAGCCTACACCACCACTATGCAACCGGTTCGCCAAGTTCGACACTGGCATTTCTTGCCTCTTTTCTCGGCATCATCCTCGGGATGTTCATTCCATCCGCCAAGCCCAGTGGTGAAATCGTATCTTGGAGCGGGCCCCCAGGACTCTTTTTATCCGCGCCATCAAGTGCCGTGCACCCCCCTTGCGTTCGGCAGTCTTCTCGTTGATGGGTCTTACTCTTCCATTCTGGCTTTGGAAGCAAGACCAAGCGCATCAATGCCAAGTCCGTCGTGATTGGCATTCATACGAAAAGCCGACCTCTTCTCGACCCACCATGGCGCGTCACGACTGCTCATGACGCCAATTAGTACAACCAGACGAGTTCGTCCTTGGCCTCGTATGGTTTGTTGAGAAAATTATTCACGGCAGCTTCGAAATTGTCCTAGATCACCATGACGTAGGCGAAATGCCCTCTCACGCGGCTCAACCTGCGGTGGCTAAAGTGCTACGTAAGCCCATTCAAACCCTTGCGTCGAGCTGTTGGAACAGCACGTTTGGTGAGGTAAATGATGTGATGGGCCGTTTGGAGAGTTTGGAAAGACTGTGATCAAGTCGGGGGAGCTGGCCCCGGTGGCCATGAACTTGCACAATCCCTATATCGATCCGTTCGGTCTGCAGTCCGTTCGACTCGTCCAGACAAACCAACGCCATGGCGGAGCTCGGAATTGGGCATGTCGGCGTGAAAATGTGTGCCGAGAACGCAGGTAGAGGGGCCAACGTGTTGGCCACGTCAATTGCAACGACTTTGACCCACACGCGCTGTCGCACGTAACGAAGGATGCATCGTCCACTGCAACTTTGACAAGCGGCTGTGCCATTGAGAGTTCCTTTATGCCGCTAGAACAACGCCGATCGCTGGATCGGGTGCGCTGTCTTGCTGTCAAGCGCGACAAAACTATCGGCCGTTTTGAAGTCGGTCACCCGCGGCTGGCTCGTGTTCTTGAAGGACCCATACATTCGATCGTAGCGCTGCTTGGCTTCGAGCGACACGGATGGACGGGACGCCGCGAGGGCTTTCTTGACATGCCACGTTCGAATTTGGGACGATCGCGGTGTCTTGGGAGAAAAGCTCACCGAGTCACTACATCGAGTTGGTTCCATGTGAGCGATACCATCATCTATCAACCAGCGTTTGTCGTACCCAGTGTCTTTGAATTCAACGTCCCAGTCGTCATCCACCGACGGAATGGCTGCATGCACCGCTTCCAGTTGAGCGGCGTACATCACCTACGATTCACATTGTCACGCTCGCCATGCAAAGACCTGTTTCGACTCGGTTCTCCTTACAGCTTGTAAATCTGCCCCCGAATACAACTCGGTGTGCTGGGCAATCGATGGCAACAACAACAACACGTCGTCCGCCAAGTCCATCTTGCGCGCGACCGCCCTCAAGATGTCCAACCGGTCCTCTGCCTCTGGAAAGCCTATAAGGATTCAAAGCGCTACGAAATTTGATAGAAGTTCGTTCCTACCGCAGTACAAGCTCTTGTCTAGACGACCCGGACGCAGCAACGCCGGGTCGATCATATCAGGGCGACTCGTCGCGGCCAGAACATAAACACCCTACGCCAAGCTCCTTCCTGAATCTCATTGACGAGAAGATGGTGGACTCACCTGCCGCGACTCAACCCCATCGAGAAATGTGAGCAGTTGATTCACGACGCGGTCAGTGACCCCCGTGTTATCAGCGCCTCGGCGAGGAGCCATCGCATCAAATTCGTCCAAAAAGAGGACGCTGGGGGCGGCCGCCGCGGCCCGACTGAACAGATCGCGCACGGCTTGTTCACTTGCCCCAATGTACTTGTTCAGGACCTCCGGACTACAGAAAACGTCGGTTGATACGATTCCAAACGACGCTTGCGGAAGTGCATTCATACCCTTTCACACTTATAAAGTTGAGCCCACATTCGTTCGCCACTGCATTCGCGAGGAGCGTCTTCCCACACCCTGGTGGCCCAAACAGGAGAAGCCCCGACGGCAACTTGATCGGGGCAGCTGCATACAGCTTGCCGTACCTACACCACATCAGGTCCACGATGCATTCACGAAATTCATAAATGAGGTGTGCACTTGGTGGGCAGCTCCAACGTGTCTTTGAGCATCTGCCGGATGTCCTTGAGACCTCCAATATCGGACCACAAGACTGAACTCTTGAACAACTCGACGCCACGCAGCGCCGCCGGGGTAAAGTCTTGTAAACCAGCCATCAAATCCAAAGGATTGTCGGCGCCGGATGCGTGTCGTGCATGAATCGTGGCTTGATGGACGGCCCGATCGACGACTTGATTCAAGTCCCGTGCACTGAATCCCTCCGTTTTGAGTGCAACCAGTTGAAACTGGTCGTCCGCAGGCTCGTGAGCTGCACCTTTGACGAGTCCACGGAGTATGTTCTCGCGTGCGACAACGTCTGGCAACGGCAACGGTATGGGCCGATCAAAGAGCCCGCAAGTTCGAAGTAGAGGGTGCATGGACTGGGCCTCGCGAGCGGTGGCCACCACCGCAACAGTTTTCTTGGAACAGGCAGCTGCAAACACCGGCCATTTTGCCTTGCACGTCGTGCTGTCGACTTGGCTCAACGTTGTTGCGTGTTGGTGCATCGCATGTCTCGATTTCTTGATCAACTACGCGAAACAGAAGCAGCATGAGAAGATCCTGCTGCAGGCGATGCGCACGTACATCAGCAAGGTGCTCGGCAAGACGTCGGGATTGCTCCGACATGCCGGCAATCGCGTCGTCTTCGGGAGGCATCAGTGCATCGATGTCATCCAACGTTAGCAAGCACGGAGCCATGTGCATTGCTTGGTCAAACGCTTCGGTAAGGGTCTCCTTGACAGTGTCCATCTTAAGCCCCCGCAAGTCTCGACAAGACACAGCAACGGTGCGACACATGACTCCAAACGACAGCGCGCACTTGGATTGCAGTGCCGACAGCACGGACGTCTTGCCACTGCCCCTTGGACCGTGCAAAATGATCGATCCTGGAGGCCCCACACCCATGCGTGTGCGCATTGCGCACCCATCGCGTCCGAGAGTTGGGAAGATACGTTTCCACAACGCCGTGACGATGTGCTCCATGCCAGGAAGTTGCACGAGTGTGGCGTGGGGGTTGGGGTCAACTGCAGTCAATACTTGGCTGTCTTGCGGAGTGCAGGGCTGCAGCGAGATGTCGGTTGTTCGTGGGGCATAAAACCCGTCGCCCACAATCACATAGTCGTCGCGTAAGGTGTTTGGCGCTATGAGGACCACAAAGGAATGACCTTTTCGAGACAACCACTCAACGTGTAATCGCCGACGCACCTGTAGACGAATCCTCGGTGTTTAGAAATTGTGCGGTGACTATGAGTTGGAGGTTCTCTTCCACTGTGACGAGCGTTCGGCGGCAGAGCACACTTGGACCAACCGACCGACTCCACGCGAGAAACCGGTCGATATCTGTGATCGCTGGAGTCAGCGACGTCACGTGGACGCGAAGAGGAAGAAGAGGGGCATGCGTCAGTAGCCGAATGCGAACGTGAGATAACCACGTCAGACCGAGAACTCGCTGGATATTAGTCGACACGCCACAGAAATCGAAAGCGATATCGGTTGACTCTCGCACTCGGCCCACGCACGATAGCCTGGTTCTAGGAATTTCTTTATGCCTTGGCATTGCATACATCGGAGGAGCTTACTCTGGATCGGCAGAGTCGTCCCACAGCGACGCCACAAGCAAGGAGTGTCTGGCGCCACCCAATGTAGCTATCAACATGGGATGCACTAGGATTTCGCCTTGCTCAGTGTTCAAGTCGACCGGATTGCCATTGGAGAGGTAGGAAACGGATGGCTAGGAATGTTCTTGAGCACGACGAGGGTGAAATCAGAGTCGCACCTGCACTTTGAGAACGGGAGAAGGCGGTTGGACGGCCGAGTGGGCGTCCACGTCGGTGGCCGGTCGCAATTTTGGAGTGATGTACACCTCTGAGTTGGACGATAGCCGCGCAAATGGTCTAGATAGTAGCACATTCATGCCGTCATGTCGCCAGAGCATGGACAACCTTACATGTCCGAGGGAAGCCTGGTGAATAAATGTATAACAACATGCTCTTGGATACGAATGGGAACTTCTTGGTTTTGCTGGACCACGCAAACCTTTGGCAGGAATACCTGGGGTTGACATGCCCAAAATAACATTTGGTTGTATACCTGGCGCAGGATTTCAGACTCCAAGTATCCCGCGTGCAGCTGGATAATCTCCCAGTCGTCTGGTGATGCAGGCTCCATCTCAATTGAAGGGGCCACGGCGATCGACGGAACGACGCTGACACTGATCCGCAGCCCAGGCATTACGTCCAAGGCGTCTGCCTATCGGTGAAAACGGCGAAGACATTATCTAGGAACCTTTCAATCATGATGGCATACCAGGTGCACACAACGTGAGAACTCGAGGGACAGCTCCATGTCGGGACTAAAAAATTGCATGACGTGAGACAAGAATCCTCTGTAAGTGAAACATACCTCTGGGTGATACCACCAACCCACCCAACGTATGCAGTCTCCATGAAAGCACCGCGCGGCCACGTGAGCCGAAGGATTGTTGCACCAAGGTTGGGCTGTTCTTACACGAAATGAGCAACTGCCGCAATATCGGATCTAGTGGAAGGTCGTACATTCACGTGTTGCAAGTGATCTCGGACGAACGATTCTGGAAGGCTCACAAAGCATGAGCATATCGGGACGAACCGCACCGTCACGAACGCGGCACCTTCAGCAGCGGTGTGCATGATGCGTGATGCCGAATCCAAGAGTGCGTAGCGTTGATTGGGCAACAGCGTGAATTTTATAGCCAATCTGAACAGCTCTCTAATCCATCAGCCAATCAGGATGCTTAATTAGTTATAGCCAATCATACGCAGGTTGACGAAACGTTCGGCCAATCCGGAGACAGACAAGGCGACGAGCCAATCCCAGTCATGGACGAAACTTGAGAGCACTGCCCCATTTGAATGATGCACAGCCCAACGAAGGACGACGACGACGACTTCTTCAACCCAGCTCTGTTCCTCAATGAGAAGTGCGCAGATGCGTCGCAGTTTGCAATGTCATGGCCTATTGTAGCTACACCAACACGGAGTATGAGTTTGGCGACACCAGGCAGAGCCTGCTTAGTTCGAAGGCGGCTTCAGTACGGCATTCCTCCCACTTAGCAACTTTGCACGTCACTCAGAAAGTAGACCGATCACGATCTCACAGGACAAGTCGTGTGGCCAGTATCAATTCTGTTGTCATGGTGCTCTATGCCAAAGTGGCGCATGTGCTCACGTCGGACGCATTTAGGTTTGTGGTGTCGAACCGAGATTTGTTCCGAGACAAGGTCGTGCTCGAACTCGGCGCAGGGGCAGGGTTGGCTGGTTTCGTGGCTTCGCAATTTGCGTGAGTTGGGTGGTCAGCTCCAAATGCAGTAAATGACATCCGACTCTAGCGCACGCACCGCCATCACAGATGGGAACGACGTGGTCCTTCGACTGCTTGACCGGAATGCAGACCAAGCTTCCACTGTTCGAAATTACAACGAGCTCATCGGGTTCTAAATCCTAGTATAGGTGTGTGGTGTGTTCAAGCTGCTCTGGGGGGAAGAGGACAGTGTTATTCAGTTTCAAAAGGATTTTCCGTATCCCGTGGACGTCATGCTCGGGGCCGATGTCGTGTGCTGGCCCAACTTGGTGCTTCCGCTGCTTCGTACCATCAAGGTATCAACGGCGTCATCATGTGTTTGGCGCGATTTCGACGATTTGTCCTTCGTAGCATTTGATGCACCAGCACGCCCGTCCGTTTGAAGTGGTCTTTTATTGCGGGTTTGTGTGTCGCGCCCAGAGCACACAGGTGCTGCTGCAGGTGACCATTTTGAAGGCATCATCAGTCGATGTGGTAGGATTTATTCTTTGCGCAAGCGAAAATCATGGGCTTCAAGCTCTGGTTCGTTCCACACGACGACTTCCTTCCCACCCCTCGACCGGCCAACGTCACTTCCACGTACGAGATCACCATCAAGCGTTCATTCACACCTGCATTAGTATGGAACTCAACTTACTTGGGCTCTCGCTGGACACGACCGCGCCATTGGCCATGGACCCAGTCGTGTTTTGCGACAACCTTCAAGACCTTCAAACGGCGTGCTGAGTGCTGGAGAATATTCCCACGGAAATGGCTGAACTGAGTTCGGCAGCCATGCCGGAGTCGCCGTGGAGCAAGTAAACGTCACTCGTCGAAGTTGTGTACACAAACCACTTGAAACCTATCATTTTCGCCTTGAATGTGTCGATGGAGGTTCCAATTGGCTCCGAAGTGGTAACATCCATGCTGCTCATGTGTCATGGAGCATCCAAGCCTTCCATTAAGGTTGTCATGGTGTAAACATTTGGCTACAACTTTATCTCGACACTGCCTGCAATCTTTGAAAGACTGCTGTGCACTTGACCACCGTCCACGATCCGATCATTCCTTTTCCGACCTATTGATTAATTGTATTTTTGCGAAATTTTTAATTCCTCAAATATTTCGAGAATATATTTCATCCGGATACTTGTTGTCGTTGAAGTGGTCGATGCAGAAGTCAATGGGTGACGACGCGAATGCCGTCCGACTGACGTACCAGTCGATTCCGATGGGAGAGCGTGCAGCGCCGAAAGAATCGTCTCCGCGAACGTCTCATGTCCTTGCTGGTATACTTGCGGTCGTCTTTTGCGTGGTCGTGATCTTGAGTCTGTGGGCATTTGCTCAAACCCAAGCTTTCCGTGAACTTGTCCGGTGGGAGCAGGTACTCAGCACCACCCTCCCCCATGAGGTTTTCAGATGATCGAATGCATGCGCAGGACCATCAAGTGTTGGGCGGGCTTATCTACGTCCTATTTTACGCCGCTTGTGTGGTTCTATGGTGAGTTGCTACGCTTCGACGTTGCACATGTCACAACTCTCCTAGTTGCCCGTCCACAATCTTCGATCTCTTGGCTGGGTACATTTTTGGCTTTGGATTTGGCACTGCGGTGGCGATGGGCGGCAAGACACTGGGATCTGTTGTTGCCTTCTTGCTTGGGCGATATGTCATGCACGATACCATTCGTCGGAAGCTCACCGAAGGCCCGCCAGTGTTACGAGCCTGGGTGTGCCATGCATTCCATCTTGCAATTGGCAGCGGTGCTCATATGTGCGCGTAGGCTCTACTCCTCGAACGCAACGAGCTCCAGTTTGTCTTGCTGCTGCAATTCGCCTACATCCCTATATTTCTGAAGAACTATGGTCTCGCCGTCGCGGGCGTGCCATTTGGACTGTTTTTATGGACAAACGTCGTCATTGGTGGTGCGAGAACGTGGCTTGCGGTGTACATTGGCCATAGTACCGCGCATATCACTGAGATCCTGACATCGCATGCTGCTCGCGGTGATGCCCGCGTTGCCCAAGAGGTTTTAATGATCGTGGCGGTGGTGTCGACGCTGCTTCTTTTCGTCGTGGGGAGCTACCGCACCAAACAATACCTTGACGAACTGGCGGACAGAGAAGTCAATGCGCTTGTAGACAATGGCGACAAGGGTCATTTTGAATTGTAACGAATTTTGATGTCCTCTCGTGCATGTGCGTGAATGAGGTGTTCGATTGGAATGGGCACACCATTTGACTCTTGCCACCAAGCACGGACAGCACGATATCGCCAACACCTTCACGGCCGTCCCGCCGCTAGAGAAACTGAATCTCAAGAAGGCAGAACATCGGGCGACGCAGCTACTTCAGCACAAGTTCCATGTGCAAGGAACTCTCGACCATCCTCCCTCATCTACCGGAAGGAACTTCTATGGCGCCGCCAAGACTCAAAACCGGGAGCGCGTGGAATACATGCGTTCTCCACCTGGACTAGGAAGACACCAGACAACTACAACCAGCGACAAACCGACTGCATTAGGCGCAAAACAAACAAACTTCCTCGAACTGGCCGTGCATGGCTACACCATGGGGTTTACGCCTTGTAAGTTGGTGGCTGCAAAGGGAGCTCATACGCTGCCCACGTGCCATACTCGTTTTCGATCGTATCAATATAGCGATACCCATAGCGCTCGAGGATCTGTACCATTCGCAAGTTTGACGTCCACGTTTGAGCGGTCGACGTTCGAATGCCTTGGTTGATCGCCCATGCCATGCACGCCGCGTGAATTTCTTGGCAGAAGCCACGACGTTGAAACTTGGCCGAGATGACAATTCCCCACTCGGCGGACCCTGTCGAGGTGTCGATGACTCGAAACCCACTCGTTCCAATCACTCTTCCCGATTCCACCTCGACGACATCAAAGAACGCCCCAGTGCCAGATGTGTGGAACATGTCGCGATGCGTTCGACGCCGTTCCTGCCATTCGTCGGCAGGCATCCCGCACAGAAACGGAATGCATTGCATCGTGTCGTCTTCGCAGTAAATGGCGTACACATCGTCGTCCAACCGCTCCAAAGGCGGTGAGTACGTCAAGCGGGCGGAATGCGGCACGGTGTCAAATCCCATTGACGTCGGCGATGGCTTGATGGGTGTACTTGGAATCCGAGCTTCTTCACGTGTACCAACACTCTGATTTCATGCAATGCATCAGATTATTGTTTGACGCGTTGGTACCTAGCGCTCATGGGTTTGACTTTTCAGCAAATGCCAATTGAGCTCCTCCTGCCGCCAAGTCGTGTGAGAGTTTGGTGGAGTGAGTCTCCAAAGTTGCGCGCAAGTTCGATCGGGGCCTCCTTTGCTTGAATTCCCACTCCACATCGCGCTGTCACCAGCCACCCTTGGCAAGTCCGGATCGTCTCGGAGTTGGTCACGGTGGGCATGCCATGGGCTTGAAATACACGATACACGCCACGTCTTGCGGTAACATGTGCACCGGGCCTCAAATGAGTAGTCCTGTTCCACCGCATGAGAGCATATGAAAGGACGCAGTGAGGTAGAACGGAGCTTATGCATCGCTGTCAGTGTCCCAATACTCTGGTGGGGCATCCATGAATGCACAGTCGGGGCCACGTGCCTTGTCTTCATGTGTCGAATGCACGCGGCCATCGTGGAAGCTGTTGCACCAGTCGAACCGTGGCAGCGGTCGTGGCAAGGTCGGATCTCGTCGAAGGCGCTCCACACACTGTTCCCAGCGGCCTTCAATCTCCAGCGTGATCAATGGCATGGACTCATTGCGATGGGATTCGTGTTTCGAAGTGGACGACTCGAGTGTCGCCGTGCGGCCTGCCGTCTTTGGTTGTGGCACCTTGGTTCGTGGCGCGAGTTTGTTCTTCATCGTCTTGGGCGTTGTCGATGGCACATCTTGGACGCACGTTGTACTCGTACCAGGAGCACGTCGGCGTGACTCGACTTGTTCGTAGACCGAATTCAGAATGCTCTCCAAGGCATCCATGGCGACGGCGAGCCTTGGATTCAGCGCCGGCGTGGACATGGCAATGGCTTGTTCCACCAATGCTGTCAAGATCGATCGAACTTCGTCGTCGTCGGATCTCACGGGCTTGCTCGCGCCAATTAGCGGATCCGCCGTGTTCACCCGCTGCTCGTGCACACAAGGTGGGTCCGACGGCTTGGCTGATATCGTCATAGCGGTTTGTTCGAATGCGCCACCGTCGGGGGTGGGTGACGTTGTGCCATGCGTCGACGCAACCCTCTCGGTGGCGCTCGTGACGACCATCTCCTTGTCCTGAACCTCCAACGTCTTCTCCAACTTCGTGGACATTTCTCGGCGTTTTCGTTTCGGCGATTGGAGTGCGAAGTGCACATGCTTCTTGGTCGAGTTTGGTCTGGGAGGTTTGTGGAGTTCTGGTGCAAGCTCATGGTTGATTTGTTTTGGATGCTGTGGGGCAAACATGAGCAATGTCTTGACTGGCGACGTGGCTTTCATCGGCAGCGAACGGTCGACAGTCGGGACAGTGGGTTCTTTCGTCGCAGGTGGCACTGGTTCATCGGGGTCTCGAAGCAAGAATTGCTGAGACTCGAGATGAAAGTGCACGAGCAGCGTCCGTCTTGTAGGTTGGGGTTGCATCAAGGGCATCGCGCCTCGACAGACCTAGTCAACATGCATGTCGCAACGACTTTGGCACCGCCATCGTCCTACTTGGATGAGTTGGGCCGTCGGTGCCACGACAAGGTCGTCGTCCTCTTCCAAGACTTCGTCATCCCAGCTCATGCCAGGCAAAACGTCGAGCCAATTCGATGAAACTGCCCTCCACCGGCCAAATCATGGCAAATCATGGCGCTTTCAAGCGCCAGCCACATATGTGGCGAAGGACGAAAATGCGACAAAATCTCGCAGTCTAGTTTCCTCTAGCCGCAACATAAGAGCTCCGGAACGTTGCAAGCTTCCTAGTCCTAACCATCGATGTCACCGGAAGAGTCGCCCTCTTGTTGACGTTTCAGTAGGCTGTGTTGGTTATTAAATGACAAGTCGCCGCTGCATGACTTCATGGGCAGCAGCAGCGCGCTTCTGTTTGACCCGCTGAATGAGGATCGCTTGGTTCAAGATCTTCTTGGCGTCATCGTCATCGACGCTGTTTTCCCCAAAGGAGATCTGAGTGAGTCGGGGACATCCGAGTTTGCCCACACTTGTCCCGAGCTGTTGGATGCCGTGGGCCGTGAGGTAGTTCATTTCGAGCCCGAGGAACGTGAGCACCGGCACCTGGCGGCTTTCCATCGACACGAGCAAGTGCGCTAGACTTGAATCCGTCAGCATGTTGCCACCCAGACATAGTTCGCTTAATGCTGTGCACGATCCTTGGGTCAGGCTTCGTGCCAGTGCTTGGATGCCTCGCTCGCCTATGAAGTTACGTCGCAAGTCGAGCAACGACAGCCGCGGACACTCCATCGATTGCAGCAACTCGGCCACGCGAATCGCACCGTAGTCGCCAAAACTGTTCCCTGGCAACGACAGCTCGGTGAGTGCAGGGCATACGCCTTGCTTGAGGCAGTGGAGCAGAACGTCCGCCTCGCCATTCGCTTGGTCGTTCGTGAAGAGACACACAATCGATAGCCGCCGCAGATTTGACCATTTTCGTCGAAGCAAATGTCGAGCCAGCAACCCCACAATCTGTTCGTGGTCGTCATGGGTGACAACGAAGCGCTGCGAGCAGTGCCGGGCAAACATGGACCGTCGACCGAACGTGATGCCGGCGGCAAGCGAGTAGATCTCGAGTTCCTCGAGGTTCACACAATGGGAGAGGGCTACATGGCCCGTGGAAAGAAGCGCGCGAGCAGTGTTGCAGCTCAAGTGGAGGGATTTTACAAACGTCGGAGCGAGCTGGGCGGCAGTTCGATTGATGCCGCGGCAGCGAAGGGTGTCCAGGCCGCCGACGTACTCCCACACAAGCGTGTGCCAGATATCGCCACCTGTGAATGAAAAGAGTGTTGAAAGGGAAGAAGACGTATGGCTTCCATGAGTCGCAGCGTTCGCAGTAACAACAGCGACTGGTTGGGTTGGTAGAAAGAGGGTAGGAGCAGGAGGCCCTGGTGGAACAGATTGAGACGAATCGGCGGGTCTCGCTCGTTTTCTAATGTTTCGATTCACGATGGCCGCTGTCAGAGCTTGGACGCGGCGCGGAAGGCTTTGCAAGTTGGCGTATTCGGCAAACGACGCCGATTCAATGTAGAGGTACGTTTCAAGTTTACGTGCAAGTCCAGCAAGTGCAGTTCCAACTGTGGGCAGCGGAGACGACGACGACGCGAGAAGTCCTTCGATGGAGTGCATGAGTGGAATGCGGTTGGTCAAGTCGGCTGGTACTTGCCAAGTGAGAGGTCGCGGCAGCGTCGCTCGAAAGAGTGCTGTGTTAGGCAAGAGCGGCCCAGGCTGTTGCGGCGGAGGTGGAGGGTTCATGGCTGCAAGAGTAGGCCGGAGCAGCAACAGCGAAGGTCGTCGGGGTGCACGAAGATCGGGGTCCCAGTGCCAAGGTTCGCTCCATCAAGTATATGGACAACCACCTCCCCTTGTGTTTTTATGCGAGCACATAGCCACGCAACGACCTCCCTCGGTTCTGATTGGTTTATTTGACTTTTGTATGCATAGACATGGAAATCCGAATTGGTCGGCGAGGCGGAAATCGCCCGATCTGGTGGCGGCGGCTGCAGGTGAATTGTATTCGTTGCAAAGCTTTCATGTGGTACCTCGATCCACGGCGCTGCAACCTCTGGTTGTGTGGTAACGACATACCGACGCGGGTCGCCGAACGAGTCGTTCGAATCCATCAAGATCAACTTGCAGCGGTTATGTAGCATGGATCCTGATGCCACACAGCATGGCCAGAGGAATCTCTTCGAGCGACGATGGCGGCGGCTCAGTGAAAGGAGACCTGTGCCGTTGGCATGTGGGTGCTTTGGGCGCAGCCCGCTCTGTCCACTTCCCGGAGCGCTTGCGAGGTCGTGGTTGTCATGTTTGCGGGATCCAACACTCAAATTCCAAAAGGTGACGACATCAAAAATAGCCGGATGACGCAACCAACATCCGGATAATCATGACCCAGACGTCTTCACGACGTAATCGCCGACAGGGTGGAAACTCTGACACTTCGCAACCCATGCCGCTGCACCGAGCGTCGCATTCGCAAGTGCTTATGGACGGATTGAATTATCGCATCGTCCTTGACTGCACCGCCGGCATATCGAGCAGTCGTGGCCAACGTACCCGCTCATGCACGTCAAGCAGTTTGTCGAGTCCTCCATTGCATATGCCGCGGCTGTGGCACGATTCACACCTCGTGCAGTTGAGTCCAAAGTAGTTGGTTGACCATTCCGTGCAATAGGTTTCGGCGTCAAAGCCCTCGCTACAGATGCATTGACCGTCGACACAGCCACATGCTAAACCATTCAGACCTTCCACATGCATCGCAAGCGCCTTGCCCAGCGCGGCACTTTCATGTTGGCTGCCAAGGGCGACTCAAAAGGTCTTGGGATCGTTCCACTTGTTTATGCCAATGCGCCCGCCTCGTAGGCGCCACGTTGGATGCTTGGCCGGCCAGTCGACGCATGGCGCAACTCCAACTGGTGTTGTTTATCTCCAAAACGACAGAGCGGTGTGGGCACCTGGACCCACCAGTCCATGTTGGGTCACGGGCGTCATGCCGGGTGGACGTACAGTCGATGTGGAATGCTTCCTCGTATACCCAGTTTGGCATCGCGCGATTTCGAGGAACTTGACGTAAGCCATGGCATCTTCGCAGTACCCGTATGACCGAATCCCCACGGGGAGAAAAACCTCGGTTTCCGGGCAACGCAGGATCTCGGCAAGCATGTCCTTCGCGGCCGATTCGCGCCACAACGGAGGCTGCATTTACCGTCACGATATGATCGCTTCGCCTTTGGTCAGGCAATCCGCCATGAGCTGGTTCATGTGCAAGAGGTCGTTGTCGTCGGGTGCCTTCAACGGCCGAAAGGCCCGTCTGTGCGTCGCCAGCGCCGCCGACGACGCGGCAGCTCTGTAGCTCAGGAACACGTCGACCGACTGATACACAACAAGGGCACCGATGCAACCCAGGAGAATCCATCTGAAGCTCAGGACCTTCAACCCCGTCATGGCCATGCTGTGACGAGACGGTGGAGTGCCGAACGACAAGAACTGCGACCATGACGGACAAACATCCATGTGTACTACAGAGGGTACTAATCTAGATTGCATAGTAAAGTATAACGTTATCAAGTAGTAGTACTAAAAATTGCACCAGTAGCACACACTGCCACAAATTGGACAGAACGTTTGAATCGGGACATGGTGCCGATCGAAGCACTTGCCAGCGCAGCGACGACGTCACATGCAAGAGAACGCCTTGGAGGCATCTACTGTGTCCCTGCTGAGTGCACGGCACATTGTCGGATTGGGCGAGAACGACCACACTGATGCCCCGTCACAAACCAAACCAGGCGAGGTGTGTGAAGCTGGTTCAAGTGGCGACGGCAGACCCCGACCAAAACCGACTCGCCACGGTCAACATCTTCCTGTTGGACCGCATTCGGAGGTCATTGAAGTCATTGAGCTCAGTGAATGGATGGTCAGGGACGGAGAATCGCTGGAGAAAGGGCGGGCAGTTCGCCAGCAAATACGGACGGGTACACGCAGGACGTGAGGAGTTCATTCTGGTTGATCTTCACGCTGCGGATCAGCACCTTTCCTGTTGAATGGTAGCTCTGCCAGTCGAGTGCTTGACGTTGATCGACACAGCAGACTACTCAGTGACCGATGTTGGCAACCAAACGACCGGGCGACGTCTATGTACCTTGCACAGAGTCTGGGTTATCGGGTCCAACAGCTTCGTCACGTGCTTCGTAGTGTAGTGTAGTGTAGTTATGCCTCCATTTTTGCAACAGGACACATTTAATATCCTCCGAGAACTAATAAATTCATTTCGAGCAGTAAGATTTGAAATTCAAACTTGTACCGCGACGGAAGAAATGCCATCGGCTGGAAGAAGATTGACGCTCCAACAGAAGGAGGCACTGCGTGACATGCACAGAGCTCAGCAGCAAGGCCAAATGACCTTAGGTCAAATGTGTAACTGGGCAAATCAAGAATTTGGTTTCTTGGTTCATAAGAGTACAATGGCTCGCATACTTCAAGACTTCAAGACGGTCGGGCAACACAGAACTTCAGCATTGCCGACGCCGCAACAATCATACGCTGTAACTTAAAACTGCCCAAGTACCCCGAACTCGACGAACAGCTGTCCCAGTGGGTCGATACAGCAAACACGAACAACGTCTGCATTACTGGGCCTATGCTCAAGCAGAAAGCTCTCCGACTCGCAGCAGACTTGGGCATTGGCCCTTCTTTTCGGGCATCTCAAGGTTGGCTGCATAAATTCCAGCGACGCCACAACTTCTGGGTTCATCGCCTTCACGGT